TCAGCAATGACCCTGTATGGTCTATTATAAGAAACAACATTGACAGGTCAGCAATGACCCTGTATGGTCTATTATAAGTAACAACATTGACAGGTCAGCAATGACCCTGTATGGTCTATTATAAGTAACAACATTGACAGGTCAGCAATGACCCTGCATGGTCTATTATAAGTAACAACATTCTCCTGGACCTTAAAAAACCTCAAAGCCCTATTGCATTGGGATTTCAAGGGCAGTCCATCAGAGATCAAGGTCAAGGTTAACAAAAATATAATTTTGCTTTTCTGAATGATAACTTCAAAACAAATTATCATACAAATTCAGACTGTGTATTGTTAGCCCTAGCAGATATACTCCACTGGTATTTACTGTAACTTCTTAATGGATGATAGTAAACAAATCTGCATTTCATATGCAGAGAATGGGAAGTAAGTTCATATAGAATAATTGTAAAACAGATCGTACATGTTTTATATAAGTTTCTTGCCCTTCTCAAACATAAATCCATGATGAGTAGATAATAAACCCTGCATAACTATATCGACAGGATTTGCTTCCCCTGGCAACTCTCGCAATAGTTAATAGGCCACCAACACACCCAGTTTATAAATTCCTAAGTTCCGAAGGACAATTGCAAGGAAGAAAAATTCTCTTATTTTTTACTGTGACCTTGAGTTCTGGCAACCCATGTGTAAAATCAATAGGTTTCTTTGCATCCACTAGGGCAACCCACACAGCAAGTTTTAACTTGGCGTGATCATTTATTTTGAGAATATTGTCCAGACACGCTCAACAAAGTCTATTCTGTTTTTAGCAACGGTGACCTTAACTTCTGGCAGCCATGCCCAATAGTAGTAGAATTGATATAATTCTATTTTTAGCAACGACTTTGACCTCCGTTGGACCATGCTCAAAATAGGATTAATAGGATTCTTCTAAGACAACACACACATTCATTCTGAAGTTATCAAGACCAAGCAGACTTGTTTTTTAGCAAGTTACCTTGACCTCTAGCATTCTATGCCCAAAACCAATAGGGGTCTTCACGTCCGCTAAGGTAACCCACACACCATGTTTAAGCTTTGTATGATAATTTTTTTTTTAAGTTATCATCTGGACGAGCAGGTGATAAAGATGCAACGGGACCAGACGAAGATTTGAACCCAGGACCTCGATCATTAGGAGGCACGGTAGTCTAGTCGTAGGACGCTGGGCTTGTGACCGAAGGGTTGCGGGTTCGAGTCACGGCATGGCACTGTGTTATATCTCTGAGCAAGATACTTTACTCCGCTTGTTCCAGTCTACTCGGCTGTAAATTAGTACGCGGTAGGGCACTGCTAGAATTGTAGAATACTAGCTGTGAGCGCCGAAATGGCAGCACCGGCTGTATGCTCCCAAGGGAGTTGAGAAAGATATTGGCTGGTTGAAAGGCCCTATAACCACGGATAATATGTGAACCGCTTTGAGACGACCTACAAACTAGGTTGTGATAAAGCGGTATATAAGAACCTCAAATTATTATTATCATTATAAATAATACGGTCACTCTAACTGAGCTAATTGGTCAACTGTAGTTACCTGACCCAGTTGCTCAACAATTGTGTTTTATCTTTATTTAGAGAAGATTGTAGACAACAGCGACGTGGGAAGGGACGTTTATTATACGTCCTCGCTGCGACATTGGAACTTAAAGTCTGTGATTGAGACTTCCGGAGGTATGGTAAATAAGTTTGACTTCATTACATCATTAGAGGCAGGCTCATTGTGCCTTTTGTTTAGGTCCCCTTGGTTGGGTGTAAACATGTCGACATTTGGACGACTGGTGTCGGTACATACTATAAATCATTGACTGTTGAACTACCAGGATTGATATCCAGAGCTTGTTAGAGATATACCATCAAATGTAAAGAAGAACAATGTCGGGATGTGACTACAGATTTTATTGTCCTACACACACAGAGCATCTCCGTCCTACAGTGTCCACGCACTAAAACTCAGTATAAATTGTACAACCATTCTAAATGCAACGAAATGTCTTCACCATAAATCTTAAATAAATGTTCTTTTAAATTCCTTTTCCTCTGAGATATTATGATGACAGAGAAAGAATTTAATGTCAACCTTTGGCACGTCGTGGTTTTCTCCTCACTGTAGACTGGGGCACTTAAAGCACCGCCAAGTCAGAGTTATCACACAGGGAAATAAACGGCAACAAAAAAAACCTAGATTAAATAAACAGAATGAGGGGAATGACTGACTGAAGTGTGCTAGACGAATGATCCACACTCGCCACACACAATTGTTTTTTGTATCGAGAAGCTGCCTACTCTGCATCCAATGTTTTATGATAAATTTCCTATGACTATGTTGAGTGGCGTCAATTCATCTTCTTTTCCAGGTCTGATCGGATAGCCTCGAGGAAGTCCATGGTGTTCAGGTAGTGCTCTGGCTTCACACTAAAACAAATATAGTGCAAACCGTTAGTACTCTACAAGGGGACACAACTCTGTTTACCTTAACTTTATCCGTAAATCTTGGGGAGAATTCTTAAAACATTTCATTTTTTCTATTTTGTGGAAAAAAATCAATATTATCTTTTGATATTAGGAAACACAGGATAAATCAGTGTTGTAGGATTTTTCCTAACTTTTCTCTCTCGATAAATTAGGTTTTGTTAACCGTGATCATATAATGACTAATGAATAAGGATAGACAATATTTTAGGACTAATTCATGGAAATGTAAAATATGAGAAAATGTTCTAGTGGAGTAAATATGTAGGGTAGTACTGCTGTCTAACATGAAGACTTCTCTCCACACTTATAGCACATGTTGTGACCCGAAGTCAAGACTCACTTTTTAATTCCGTGTATACAGCCAGCGAGATCCTTTGTCATGCTGCCCGAGTCCACAGTGTCTACACAGGCCTTCTCCAGGGTGGTCGCAAACCTGGAATACAAATGCAACAGTTATAGAAAAGACAAGTGAATGCAAACCTGGAAAAAATGTCTTTGTTTTAATACATATATTTCTTATTGCCAGGTTGCAGATCATTTTTTTGGGTAGAGTCATTTGAGATTATTTTGGGACACTCTCCACGTATTTCCCCAGACATTAAAACTTGTTTCCTTATCATTTTACTTTTGTGCTTGGAGAAATGGCTGAAATTAGCGGTAAAATACTCTAAAAACAACACCTACTTTAACTCATTCTCCCCTGAAATTTCATAATGAACTATTCCAACTTTTGAATTGGAAGAGTTCAAATGTGTCTTCAGGGTGAATGAGGTAAATAACCCTTTACTGATGAAGACCTCCGTGGTTCACACTACTAGAGGTGACCAGACCTTACCTAACAAGATCCTGGTTTCCGTCCAGTTTTCCACGGTGCTCCAGGCCACGAGTCCAGGCGTAGATGCTGGCTACAGGGTTAGTACTGGTGGGGTTACCCTAAAATACAAGATACAGCCAATCAAATCATAGCAATCGTAAACCACACAAGATTCAGCCAATCATATCATAGAAATCGTAAACCACACAAGATTCAGCCAATCATATCATAGCAATCGTAAACCACACAAGATTCAGCCAATCATATCTTAGCTAACCAATCAAAAAGATATTATCAGTCAATTGTATAAAACAATTTTTTGTCAATAATTCACATTACAGAAATTTGAATTTCTTATACCATTTTTCTCTTTTTGTTTTGTAATTGTTCACATCATTTCATATTTGAAACTCGGGACCTGTTTATTTATGCGTAACATCCTTTTTGTCTATTTTTAAATTTAACATTGTTTGGGTAAAATCTTGGTGGACCTGCAAATGTTTATGCAGGCCTTGCAAGGCTTTGCCAAGGCTAAACTGAAAGCAGCATCAGATTATTAGGTCTGACCTTATTTCATAAACAATCAACTCTGGTCCAACCAGTTCAACCCTTTTGGATCGCGGTAGCCGAAAGCGGCTCTAGTAACTCAGTGTCAGATCTTTCGATACAGTTCTCATTCTTTTAAGGGGAATAACTCCTCCTACCTTCTGATGTTCCCTGTAATGCCGGGTGACTGTTCCATGGGCAGCCTCGGACTCGATGGTTTTACCATCGGGACATAGCAACACACTGGTCATCAGCCCCAGGGAACCGTAGCCTGTAGACAAGACAACACTAACTCAATACTTAATCCTAGACCAACAGAAATGGTGACACGTTATGTAATCTAAGCCAGTAGTTAAATTCTGCTTTAAACTCTGTGACATGTTATGTAATCTAAGCCAGTAGTTAAATTCTGCTTTAAACTCTGTGACATGTTATGTAATCTAAGCCAGTAGTTAAATTCTGCTTTAAACTCTGTGACATGTTATGTAATCTAAGCCAGTAGTTAAATTCTGCTTTAAACATTAACTCAACCCTACCTATTTAAACTTGACTTGCCAAGTCATTGATTTAGTACGGTTCAAATGTAACTTTAGGGGTGAATGAGTTAACAACGACTGTTTTGCTTGATGATATAGTACAACATGTCAATAGGTATTTTCTGCATTTGGGATGAAACTAAAAAATATCTTTAAAATACAAATAAACAGTAGTGCATGATGGCCTTGGCCTACACCTTAGAACCCAGAAATATTAACTCTGCATCCAATGCTTTTATGAAAAAAATGATGAACTCTTTTCGGTACTTGACCTTTGTATAAAGTTTGATCAAAATCCATCAGGGCAAGAAGGTGTTTGAGCGATAACAATGAATTGTGTATAGGATGGGATTCATAATATGGCGGAGTATAAAAACATGACACCTCCTTCACATAAGGATGGCCCTGAACTATCATAATATCACATTTATATGCCCGCTCAAGGCTCAACTTGTGTGTGCTTCATGACTTTCGTATGTTTAATTGTGTTTTATCTCCTATTAACAGCTATGGTAATTTAAGGACATGCCAGGTTTTTGATTCTGGTGGTGGAGGAAAGCCAGAATTCTCGGAGTAACACCAACGACCAATACCTGGTGACTGCCCCACGTAGGTCTCGAACCCACAACCCAGTGGAAGAGGGCTAGTGGTAGCAGAATGTCAGACACCTAAACCACTTGGCCACCTCGGGCCGCGATCATGCTTCATGACAATGCTAGAGTGTATTCATCTTCATTGTGTAACTCAAAGGGGCCACGGTGGCCAAGTGGTTAAGGCGTGTGACATTCTGTTACCACTAGCCCTCAGGTTCGAGACTTTTGTGGGGCAGTGGCCAGGTACTGGCCGTAGGTCTTTGGTTTTTCTCCGAGAACTCCGGCTTTCCTCCACCGCCAGAACCTGGCACGTCCTTAAATGACCACATCTGTTAATACGACGTAAAACACAAACAAACCAAACCAAAAGTGTAACACGAGATAAACTGTGTGCACTATTTACCCTGAGCTACAATGTCGGACTGTACATCTCCATCGTAGTTCTTGCACGCCCAAACAAACCCTCCGCTCGACTTCAGTGCCTGGGCCACCATATCATCTATGAGTCGGTGTTCGTACCAGATTCCCAACTTCTCAAACTGTGCCCTGTAGTCACTGTAACACAAAACAATTTTCAGTTCAACTTGGCCAAATTTATCAGATTAGTTTCGCACCCTAATATTAACTTCATCTTTTTTTCTGCTATTTGTTTTTATCAANCCAACTTCTCAAACTGTGCCCTGTAGTCACTGTAACACAAAACAATCTTCAGTTCAACTGGGCCAAATTTATCAGATTAGTTTAGCACCCTAATATTAACTTCATTGTTTTTTTCTGCTATTTGTTTTTATCTTTCATTTATGTCTTAGAGACATTTTCTAGTTCTCTTATGCTATGTGACTGATCATTTTGGAAACCCATTCGAACATCTTGCATCAAAGCAAATCGTTTTGAATGCACTATGATTCATTGAGGAGCTCTCTGGTCAGGATTTCATTCAAGTCAACTAATATTTCACACAGCACGAAGACAATAATATTTCAGCAATTCCTGTGGTAAAAAAATTAGTTCATAATTCTTACAAAATTTCATATGCAAGATCACATATTTGGAAAAATAGGTGGAAAATGAACATCTTTTTTTACATAATGCCAGGAAAAATAACAACATTCAATATGTGTGAAAGAATATTTCTAAACAATTTCTTCAGGTTGGTAAGTATGGATTATGAAAAGATTCTTGTTACACAACGAATAGGTGTTTCTATGTGACGTCACATAGAAACACCTATTGGTTGTGTAACAAGAATCTTTTCATAATGTGTGAAAGAATGTTTAGATTTTCAGGAAGAAATCCTAGTTGTATATATAAGTTATAACTTTGGTATCAAATATATTTTTAGTCAGTTCTGAACAGGGAGCTTCTTTAATATGTCTCTCTTCCACTTTCAAAAGTCATGTAATCTGACCTACCGTAGATCTGATATATTACCATTAAGTATCAAGGGGCCTTCTCTATTTCGAAAGACAAGATTTATATTTGGATGCATCAAGGGAGACAATTCAATTGAGACATACCGATATCAACTTCTTTACCATTTCTTAATATAATACTAGTACCGCTTTTAGCTGCCAAGAAGAACAAGAATGTACAAATTAAGGTATAAATTCTCACCTCTGGTAAATAGCCTCGAAGATGTCTTTGAAGCGTCCATCGTAACGCTTGAGAATGGTGTTCTTGGTAGACATGTACAGGGGCCATTTCTTAGTGATGGCATACTGGAAACTGGCATGGGCGAAGCCAGTGATGGACTCGTCTGTGTTGTACATTCCCATCACGCAACCACCACCTTTGGTGAAGGTGAACACCTCCGTCCTTTCTTCCTTACCGCCTTCGGGGGTGAAAACGATTTCACATTTTCCCTTTCCTTTGATCACCATGTCTGTGGCTTTGTACTGGTCTCCAAAAGCGTGACGCCCAATGACGATGGGCTGTGTCCATCCGGGCACCAGACGAGGGATCTTGTCGCACAGAATGGGTTCACGGAACACTGTGCCGTTGAGGATGTTTCTGATCGTGCCGTTGGGCGACAACCACATCTTCTTTAGCTTAAACTCTGTAACACAAGATGGTACATAATGTAGATGGTTACCTTGTTTTGACAGAGCAGGCCATTTACGATGTACTGTTTGATATATTTTCCTCTTTACTGCATCATTCCTAACTTTGTATCATTTCAAGTATTTGTATTAGTTTTCGAGTTATTGTATTGTTCTTTTATAGCTTTGTAAAGATAACTTCTAAAATAAATATGGACTAAAAACCTGGGATTGCCCAAGGAAATGGCCCATCTTGGCAGTATTACAGCAGCCTTGAAATAACTAAGCAGGTATGAGGATATTTTTTAATTTTTTATTAAGAGTTTGAACAGAAAGACTTTAATTAAGATTGTTCCGGAGGGGGGACATTGGCCAGGTGTTAACTCATTCATCCCTACATATATAAACTGGACTTGTCCAGTCTTTGATTTGGTAAGGTTCAGATGCGTCTTCAGGGGTGAATGTGTTAAATGAAGATCAGATGCTGAACGAGAGGTCTCACCTTCTACTCGCTCTTCATCGGGTGTGATGGTGGCACATTTCACACCCACATTATACTTCTGTATAGCCAGTGCTGAGTCAATGGTGACCTGGTCGTCCGTCTGATCTCTGTAGGGCAGTCCAAGGTCGTAGTACTTTAGGTCCACATCCAGGTAGGGCAGGATCAACTGTAACAAATCAACACACCTTAACTCATTTACCCCTTAAGACACATTTAAACTCTTCCAATTCAACATGCCTCAACTCATATACCCCTGAGTCACATCTAAACTCTTCCAATTCAAAGGTTGGAATAGTTCATCATGAAATTTCAGGGGTGAATGAGTTATTACTTGCCCAAAGGTTTAACTTCTAACACTTCAGGTTATTTTTGTCGGATTCACAGGTTACATAATGAACTTTCCATATCAACATATCGCCAATACTTATATTCAACAAACTGGAATCATTTTACCTCAGAGATGCTTCTGATCAAACTAGGCAAATCGATACAGGTCAGAAAAATATTTTCTTTATCTTTACAACATTATCAATCTGTCATTCATACATATATATGTTGTATTTTGAGATCTCGGTAAAACGCAAGGAATTTATTTGAGTTTGTTTTTTTATTATTTTTCCTTTCCAAACTCGGATTTTAATGGTCAAATTACGAAAAATCACACTCATATTTTTATTGGAAACAGGTCAATTTAATTTGACCTAAGAGGAACCCTAATAAACCTCTGGTAGCCAAAGTGATAAAAAGTCATTTCCTACATTTGAAAATTAAATTATTACTTTAAAAACCTGCATGGTTGTGATTTTGATCAAGCTTTAATCTGAGGCCAGTACCGCCCAATGTCCAATACTGTCTTGTGGAACAACTGTACATGTAGGTAATCTGGTGATTCTTCTGTCATTTCCTTTTACAGATAGTGATTTTTGGAAATTTGAAAAATGTAAAAGACAGACAGACAATTGGAAAGATCAGTCGCTAATGGAGGGTGAACATAATACAAGGTGAATGTAAAAAAAAATATGATTGGAAGAAATTTTTGAAGTCCATAACTCCCTCAATATACAGCACTGAAGATTGATTAACACTAAAGGCTCAGAGCTACATTGCTGCAGGAACATAAAAAGGTGGAACTTTGGTAGGGGACTGCCTTACCCCATTAAATCATTAGGTTCACAATCCAAGATAATGTGTACTGTGACTGGGCCTTTATTTCTGACAAAGGAGCTTATCTCTTCTGATCCCCACAAATCCAATACACATTTACACACACACGACTGGCACAAGTTTCGACATGTTTAAAACTTTAAACACACCATATTTAATTCAATTGATTGATTGGGACTGAAGAAATGACCTGTTCAGGAAATAATATTCAATATTCACTGCATCTCATTTAAAACTTTGAACTTTTTAGGGCATTGGTACGTATAAACCTTTCCAAACTATTTAGAAAAATAAAATATTATGCTATATGTATATAACCACTATTGATTGTAGAACATATGGATTTTCAGATTAGCAGGTACACCTTATATCGTAGGTGACCTTCAAACACTGCACTATAAGCTGGCATATTCTCAACAGCCACGTAAGCCATAAATCTGCACAGCCAGCAGAATTCAAACACATGTAATATAGGCACAATTGATACATAGATATTCATTTCATATGAAATGGGTAATAGAAAGAATCTTATCGACATTTATTGAAAAATTCTACAAGCCAAATCTATATTTTCAAATTATTGAAAATTGTAATTCAGCCCTACCTCTGGTTTTTGTGGAATTGTACACCTCTGCTTTTTAAGATTAAATAGCCATAGCTCACTTTTATCAAAAGCTAAACCAATTGGTAGGGTCAAAAAAATTGTATTTATATTGTTTAAGGCTGTAAATATTTGATCCTTTCTTTGTGACCTAATGCCCTGGCACCAAAACTTTTTGTGAAGTGTCCATGTTGCCTCTGAAAAACATTTTGGTAGGCAGGTATAAAAGGCTAACTTCTTTTAAGGAATTTAAGAACAAATATATTCTACCAAATTACCAATTGTATGTTACACTGAAAAAATATTTCAAACTTTAACAGCAACTGTTCAAAAATTAATCATTAAAATTTAGGGAATAGGAACTTTAAACCAAGGCAGTATGGCAAAACATAAGTTATATGTTTTATAAACAGCCTTTAACAAGTCCCCATAAATTGTTACCAGCATAAAAGAAAAGATCTAGTCTTTTAAATAAATGCAGCACAATTAAACTGTTACCAGTGACTGGTAAAGCCTGTATGGGTCGGTGACTTATGTAAATATGAAGCTTATAGGGCATTTCACGGCAGTCGTCTTAGACAATTAATGTACAAACACTGCATTGTGAGCCATACACATTATAGCTCCTCGTAACTGGATCAGGAGGCCAATATCTTGTCCCGTTGACTACACTTGGATTGTGTCAATAGTGACAATATGGTGTATGAACCATAGAATTATAACTCGTATGACGTGAACTGAACATAGCAATTCATAGACCATAACTACATGTACAGTTGAATAATACTACAAGTCTAGTCCTGTGTCAACTGAACCTACAAGGATATCTTTTTTCTAATTTTGGAAGGTTCCAGAATTCTAATATCAGACTCTAGTCATGATAGACCTTTTTTCTGTGCATATTTTGTTTATGTTTCTGATATATTTCTATCCTTATTTGTCCCTCCAGTGGCATGGGTGTCCATATATATACTTATCTCCCATAACAATTCCTGACACTCCCCCTCTTGCCCCCTAAACATTCTGACTCCCCCCTCCGAAACATTTTGATCCCCCCAACAATTCTTGTCCCCCATCCTCCAAACTTTCTGATCTCCCTGTCTCCCCCTCCCACAACCAAACATTCAGATTTCTCTTTCATAGTTCCTGTCCCACATCTCTAAATCATTCTGCTGTCCCTGACACCCCACCCCCAAAAAACATTCTGGTATCTGTCACCCAATTTCTGTCTCCCATCCCTTCACCTTCTGATCTCCATTTCCTATGTATTCCATCCTGTTTATTACATCTGAACGTCAGTCCTCGTATGACCTTGGCTGTTGTGAGGATGACTCCGATCAAACAAACAAACAAACATATCTACATCCTGATCCTAAATCTACCAGATACATAGTCCCTCCTTTTCCAAAGATCTGCCTCAATCACCCCACCCCAAAGCTGGAAACTTGAAATTATTTCTGCACATTGCCCCTGTCCTACACCAACAATATCCCAAACCAACATGCAGTTACAACTGATGTCATAAAGATGAGATGTAAATTTTACTTGTAGCTGAATATTTCTGGCCAAGATTGCCCAAGGCTGAGAACAGGTAATTATGCAGCTTTGATTAATAGCCTGCTGTCTGGTACAGTATATACCACTGACTATGATACAGACATATACACATCCACTCTACTGTCTGGTACAGTATATACCACTGACTATGATACAGACATATACACATCCACTCTACTGTTGCTATATATACAGCATTCAACAGTCCGCCAGTACACCATGTGTTACTGTTTGTCCACTGTAGACTTGTACATTAACACATGCTTAAGCATGCTGGTATCCTACAAGTGTTAGAACAAGACCTCGGACAATTCAACACTAAGATGTATACAACAGGTCAGATATCAGCGAGTTTTAAGGGTTTCAGAGGGTTCAGTAATCAGACCCATCACCAATGGGAAACAATAGGCTATATTTTTCCTTTTATCATTGCTTTTTTTCTTCAAAAGAGTAAATAATGTCCCTTAAACATTGTTCCCACTTAATTTTAGATTTGGGGGTATATTTTATACATTTTGAGGATTCTGTACCCCTAGGTAATTAGTTACATAAGGTAATTCTTGAAAACTTGGGGTACTGTATAAGCAAATATTTTGGGGGTGATTAACCCTCATTTGGGGGTTTCTGGGAACATCATAAACATCTATAGATCTATATAAATTCCAGTAAATCTTGGCACAAACATAATGTACATAAACTGATTTGTTCTCCGTGCAGAACTCTTCAGTTTATAGGATCATTCAAACACTTGTATGATGGGCAAAGTGGAGGTGGAAGATGGAGCACTTCATTGACAAGGAATCTTATAATTCTTAATGCTACTGTCAAGTCAATAGATAGAAGGATTCAGTACCTTTTTTCCGCATTTGATACAGGAGTTTGTTCCCCAATGACTTTTTTTGACATTTAGCTCTTGATGTCTATTTGGCACAAGATTTTTTTCTTTCTTATAGATGACCATGAAAAATATTATCGGACAAAAAATTAAAGCATCTCCTACAGAAAAACCTGCTTATGTAGGTCAATATGGGAGATGCTTTTATACCAGGTTTGTTCTCCTTTGATTTGGGATGTGGCCTTTTTGTCTCATTTAGGAAGAAAATGCACCAATCGGGAAGCAAACTGCGTTTTTTGGAATTTGGTATAAATATGAAATAATTTCAATTGAGAATGGGGCCAATTATCTACCCTAAATAGTCCACAGGAAAAAGAAGTATCCAGTATATCCTGATAGTTTGAAAAGGCTCTGGAATAGGCAGTCAACTGTGACAATGAGCTGGGAAGGCTGTACGTATCTCTTGATAAAGGGAAGGATATTTTACAAGTAACATGTAATCTGCATGTGTTACTATGTAATCACAGATCTGTATTTCATGAATTATTGATATTTTGAAAACAGATGCATATATAGGAACAAAACTATTCACATAAAAATTTGTATATACATACCTTAAAAAAATAAAAATAATTTTGTATATATATCTTAAAATATAGCGTCACTGCAAATGCAATTTTCTTCTTTCAAATTGACACAGGGATTTGCCAATGGCGTCAATGCAATTACTGAATTATCTGTGAAATTCTATTACTTCTTTTTTTGAACAACTGAAGTTTTAGAGCTGAGAATCAGATTAAGACTGTACAATCCTAACTTGTCAGAAAGGCCATGTTTAAATGAAGCCACACATCAAACGTCTACACCAACATTTACAGGTCATTGAGTTCAATGATGAATGAGTCAAAGAGCTCTTCTTCATCCCTGTAAAGGTAAAATGCCTGAAACTGACCGTGTCCTTGATCTTCTCCCAAATGATCCTGGTCATCTCATCTCCGTCAAGCTCCACGACAGGGTTGTCTACCTTGATCCTCTTGCCTTGAGCACCATCTACAAATAACATACTGATTAGATTTAAATGTTCACAATCAGATTTTTTTTATATTTTACGATGTATTCCACAACTTCAATGGGCCATTTTTTTATTTATTTTTTGGATGTATAGTGTGTAACTTTCCTTTTGTTGGCCAAGTTACGTAATTGTTATGGAATTACATCACATGAAATATCGCCATCTAAACACATGAACAGTATTGGTCAAACAGAACGTTGATTGAAACAAGAGGACCAACAGGCCTGCATCACTGACCAAATTCTAAAGTTTAAAAGACAAAAAAAGTTAATTATTTTCACAAAAATTAAAACTGGTCCTTTTTTAAACATCAGCTTACTATACATTCAGAAATTGATATGTTTTGTTCCATTTGCACTATTCATATTGATCCTTGCTCCTTATTTTGAAGATGAGCCATAACCTTTATATATACAACATTGGATTCCCTTTGCTCCAAATGCTTCATGTCAAATTAAAAAAAAAAACTTTTATTTTATTTAAGTAGTTTTTTAAAGATAAAATTAGTTATCCTTTTGGGCCTGGCCCTGTGCCCTATTGAGGCCACACCCTACACTTGTATAATAATTGATTCTCTTGTCCAAAAGATTATTTAGACCAAAGTTTCATTATCTGCGCTACAAGTAGATTATTTCCCTCTTTTCACCTTCTTCTGCAGGAGGTGGACGGCATCCCTTATTTCTTCTTTTTACATTACCTCAGGATTGATCCATGTCAATTTTAGATGCAAAATCTCTTCAACCATTCTGGGCAAGTAGTCTTTTAATTAATAGAAAGATTGGGAACAGATGCTGTACATGTATGTGCCACACGAGTTAAAAACATTTCACCAATGCTAACGAAGGAACGTTGTCAGGCAGCTTCTGCTATAGTACTGTAAAAACTAGACAATGCCAACATTCAGAATTAGAGAATAACAGTATATTTTCATATTCCTTTATTCTAACACTTGCAAAGTTAAAGGTCAAATATATCATTATGACCTGTGACTGCCCAAAATGCTTTGGTCTACCGTTGTCATGTCTTAAAAAAGTATCATTCCAGTCTTTTATTTTATTATCCTCACCTAGGCTTTCTAAGAAAAATAATCAGACTCCGACTTTTTATTTGTTCTGCATTGTCTAATTCTTATGTCTATAATACCCTTACAAAATACAGTGTCGTTTCAAATGCATAGCCAACATGACGGCAATGATTAAAACATGTGTGTGTTGATTATTTTGAATAATACCACATGTGAGTGCCAAGTTAACATTGTTTGAAATTCATAATTTTATCAAATGAACTTGAAAACTCCTTGCCCTTAATTAGAGCACCTGTCAAGGTGTACCGCCCGATATCGGTTAATTCAACATGTGTTGGTACTATCGAGACGGCTATACTTACATTGTCTCTTCTGAGAAACACTGACGGACGCTGGTGTCACGAGGTTGTTCCATGCCCTGCCTGCACGGCCGAGAGCACGTGTAACGGAGATAACTGGACTGGCCATTTTGCTCGCACTTGTTCCAGAGAGAGAGAGAGAGAGAGACCGGCAAAATTCACAGGAAGCGGGTAGGGAAACATCAACTAATATCAAGGGGAGAGGTTAATATTGTGTTATTTTAGGTATAGAGCTAGATATAAATGTTTATTATGCGGCATTAGTTTCTAATTAATAAGTATTGTCTTTATGCCGAATCTTGTACAAAAAATATTTTTAAGTGGAAAATATATTTCTGAAAACTATAAATATATATCTTGCTATACCTATCCGAAAATGGGCTAATCCATGGTTTCAAGTCATGTGATTTGAAGTGTGTATTCGATTGGTTAACCGCCCATTGCCTTCACAGCAGCCATAAGACCGGCGATTTCTCGTACAAGACTACCAAGATTCTGAGTCAAATGTGGCTCTAACTTCTGTAAGTAAGCGTTTCTGATCAGCGCATTATGTAACCCAATCATTGTTTTGCTATGTTGTGAAAGAGCAATATTTATTATGGCGTACTTTGTCCGCAAACACATGTTTTACCCACCTGTGTTTTGTGGTTCGTTACGATCTGTTTCTAAATTGCAATTAGGGGTCATTTGGCAGTCAGTAATTTCAGTGACCTCTAAAGGTGACACGTGTGTCCCGGTAAGACACACACAATGCTCCCCTGACCCCGATAACTGCACACATGAACTCATGACCCTTTCGCTATCTAATAATTGTTGTAAATGCACATCTGCTCATTGACCTACAGACGTGTCAAGCACATGTGTAACGTTACCAACACAATAATATGTGTTTTTATTGTAAGCAGTCATTTTATAAAAACAAATGCATTTATTTCTAAAAATAAATTGATTTCAGTCGTCATTTAAAAAAAATAAACTTACTGTCAAAATGTGTTATCAGTTTAGTAACAAGTTAATTCAGAACGTCAGTTCAACCCTACACAGGTAACTAGGTTATATTGGTGCCATATGTGGTTTTTGAAAATTAAAATGTTGACAAAATGCTCAGCAGTCACAGCCTTCCTCTCACAAGCATTACAGTAACCTCTGAAAACACTTGGGACAAATTCTTTCCTGGACTAAAGTGCTGCTTCAAACCAATACGACTAGAGAGTTTCTCTTAAGCCCAACAGATAGTTACAGCTTCGGACTCCAGGGATTCTGGGTTTGATCCCTTGTGGAGGCATTAGAAAGAATATAATTATCTCTCATACATTCAGCATGTGTTATAATGGGTCTTCGTGCTTGATTAGTATTTTTTAAGGTGACAGTGCCCAAATCGGATCACCAAACCATCATTTTATTCATTCTGTTATATGTTATATGTATTTTGTGACCACCAGAGAAGTATCCGGCAATATTGTCCGTATTCTGTTTATGATGTATGAATTAGATGTAACATTGAGTTTCCACCGAAACTTTGAGATAAACTACACGAAAGCAAAGCAAGAACAAGGGTTTGTCGTTTATTTATCCTACTGCGAGTCAATAACACAACATGGTGGAGAATCCAAACCCGTAAGATGTAGTTTCGTGACATTTCCAGCCGACTGTTGTTGGTTGGACCACAGCAAGCGAGTGTCCCCGTTTATAGGAAGTTGAGATACAGTTACACCTTGTATGGTATAGGTATATAATTCCTTTTCCATTTGATTTTTTTTTCATTCACTACTCTATGCTCTGTTGTTTTGTATGTCTGGATACTTCCTTGGTGGTTGTTTAAATTTCACTGGGGTTCATTTTTTTGAGCGGGGGGATGTTATATATATTTTGTGACCACCAGAGAAGTATCTGGAATTATTGTCCGTATTCTATTTTATGATGTATGAATTAGATGTAACCCTGAGTTTCCACCGAAAGTTTGAGATAAACTTAACATGAAAGCGAAGTAAGAACAAGGGTTTGTCGTTTATTTATCCTACTGCGAGTCAATAACTCAACAATTCATTGAAAATTCTGAAGATGAATTGTATTCATTATGGTTGTATCTACACAAATTTTGCGTATCGGGGACCAGTGACTCAAATGTATTGTGCAAGGTTAAGTTGTTTTTTCTTTGAAAGCAGGGCAGAAATAATTGCAATATTATTAGTTTTAATGAGATAAATTTTTCCATAATTCTTTAAATAGTCAAATCTGGGCCTCTTGTACGAGTGTTTAAATTGGTATGATTTTTAACCTTTACATTGGTCTTTTTCAGTGTAGTGCTTTATATCAAGATGCTGTTCCGGGCCAGACAGGGCACTGCCCTCTTCCTGAACCTCGGAGGAAATGCTCGTACACTCTCTTTCAATTTTACGCGAGGCTTCCGCCAGAATGCGAAACAATACTGTCAGAAGGTAGAGGAGAAGACTGTCTCTGGGACACCGTACCCGAACCTGACGATAGGAGTTCCCAAGGAACGGTACCTCAACGAGAAGCGCGTGGCTCTCAGTCCAGTGGCTGTGGCCAATCTTACGAAAAAGGGCTTCAATGTCAATATAGAAAAGGGGGCAGGAGTGGAAGCCAAGTTTTTAGACAGTGATTATGAAGCTTCAGGTGCAAAAATTACATCACTCAAAGATGCATTTCAGTCGGACATCGTTCTGAAGGTGCGAGCACCCGAGGAGAGCGAGATCCAGAACTTCAAGGACAATGCCACACTTCTCAGCTTTTTATACCCAAAACAGAATGCTGAGCTTGTGCAAAAGCTGGCCACCAAGAAGCTCAATGTGTTTGCTATGGACATGGTACCTAGGATCTCCCGGGCACAGGTGTTTGATGCACTTAGCTCCATGGCCAACATTGCTGGGTACAAAGCTGTTATTGAATCTGCTAACAACTTTGGCCGATTCTTCACAGGTAAGCCTTAAATTTGTTCTTAGTCACAGAAAACAGTAATTAAGTGATGCAGGTAAAGTGGTTTATTCACTGGTAAATCTCAAATTTGTTTTTAGTCACAGATAACTTAGTAATGGTACCTGCTGCAGGTAAGGTTGGAATTTTCGAGATTAACATGATTGTCATGATCAGTTCAATTGTAAACTTGTCGAATAGAAAACCTGAGATACATAATATTTATAACCTTAAATTTTAGCATGTTTTTTTGAAACTCTTGTCTGAAGGTAGACAAAATCAGTTCCTTCTTTCCTTGATTTCAATTGTACATGAAGCCAAACAAAAACTTAAGTGTTTCCTGTAACATACTTTGAAAAAAATTCAAGGTGGGTATGTAGCAAATTTGAGTTGGTAGAATTACAGGAAACACCAAAATCTTTTGCTTGGCCTGAAAAAATGGTTAAAATTGGACTCTGCACCTTGGGATTTAATCTCATAGTCCACAAACTAGACTTCGTACTATATTTTGAGAGGTTTAAATCAACTGTTAACTGTCCTTTTCCATTATAAATAACCCATGACTTCGATGTCCAAGGGGTCCGTGATCTGATATAGAGCGGGAATACATGATAGATGGACACAATCATATTATAACCTATTTATCATAAACTGCACACTATAAACAGTTATTTTTAAGTTTTAACATCAGAATTATTTAAAGCAAAACATAAAAACACCAAATTTATCATTTTATTTTCAATTTTTCATCGTTTGCCATTTTAAAACCAACACCTGGAGTAGAACAGATATGGTACTGCGGGAGCTGATAGGGCACATGCATGATGCAGGGGAGATATATGGATCAAGCTGAGATATGGCCTATGTAGAGCTTGCAGTATCACACATGCATGATGCAGGGGAAATATATGGATCAAGCTGAGATATGGCCTATGTAGAGCTTGCAGCATTACACATGCAAAACAACCATCTCACAGACAAGTATATATACACTCTATGATAATTCATCTTACTTGACAATTCCACAATAAACTTAGTCAATACACATGCAATACACTACACTATACTTGATATTTCATTAAAAGAAAAAGCAATATATTTTCCTAACTTATTTTAATATAATAGAGGTGCTCTGAAGACAGCCTCCCTTTGGCCGAAACATGTCAGCACGTAGGATGTAAATCAAACATTTCATTTTGTACAAGATTCAGTGGGGTTGTTGCTCATCATTTCTATTTTCATTTGCTCCGCTTTCCCTGACGAGCACTGTTGAATACCATTAAGGTATCCACCCTGGGATCCCTACCGCCACTATGGAACTGACTTCCTTTCAGGGACGTTGGGTCTCCACCCCCTGTTGTTATTATATATTTAATTAGCTATAGGCTAAATGTTGTTTTTGTTCTGCTTCCAGAAAAAAAACTACTGGTAATGAACTCCATTCATTCTCAACACTGACACTGCGATCCCAGACACTTAGTTTAATAGACAAGCTACCGTATTTACGACTGACAGTGTTGTGTTAAATGTAGCTAGATTCCCCATGATTGCCTCTATCACATGAGCATTTTTTGATTAAAAAGCTTTCGTTCTCTATGTAGTACTATAAAATTCTTTTTTTTTTTCAATGAGAATATGGAATCTATGACATGATGACCCAATATTTCGTCAGTTTGTGATAAAACCTGTATAACTAATTAACTATTGTAGGTCAGATCACTGCCGCCGGTAAAGTGCCCCCAGCAAAGGTTTTCATCATTGGAGGAGGCGTGGCCGGTCTCAGTGCCGTTGGAACTGCCAAAAATATGGGTGCAATCGTACGTGCCTATGATGTGCGCCCAGCTGTGAAGGAACAAGTGGAATCGCTGGGAGGTGAATTTTTGGAGGTGTCTGTACAGGTATATGTTATATAGTTAAAATGCTCTGTTTTTCTAAAACTTCAATAGGTGACATAAGAGGCAGTTTCTTTCTTTTTTTTTCTTTCTGCATATAATCATCCAAATTCCCATTTCACAAAAATTATCAGAATCTAATGGGGAAAAAAGTCCCCTTATTTTTACCACTGCTCAAAGTAACTGCATTAAAACAAACATTTCCAGATACCTAAAGCTTTAAAACACCATTTCTGAAAAAAACACCATATCTTGGGAATTTTTTATGGAAAATATAATGAAGATGAAATAAAAAGTAATCCTAAGCAGTGTTCTGAAGTAGAAATTTAAAGCTTAAAGTTATTAAAGTTGATACAATGTAAGTCATGCATCTTGTTCAATCAAAAAGTAATGAAAACCTTTGTAACATTGTTATGGACCATTGAACAAGAATGGTTGCCCTTGCTGATCCCGTTACCTTGGTTACAGGAGTCTGGAGCAGGAGAAGGAGGTTACGCTAAAGACCTCAGCGAGATGTCACAGGAGTTCCAGGATGCACAGAAGGCGTTGTACGCCAAACAGTGCAAGGACGTCGACATCGTCATCACAACAGCTTTAGTGCCTGGCAAACGTGCTCCGATCCTTATCACCAAGGTCAGTGTTGGGCTGGATCCAGACACAAACGGCAAATTCTGTTTTTAGTACGAGTATGATAATTTGTATACATAAGGCTCAACAATAAGGGTAGCCCAATAGTGTGAGACGAGTGAAATCTCAAGCTGGACCAGTAGTTATACAAACTTCTAGCCCAACTGACTTGTCAAAAATTGATATTACTTACATGTTGAATAATACTAGGTTTTGCACATGGACTAGTAAAATTGGAAACTACTAGCCGACTGACAAATGGTTTTCAAAATTAATATCTAGCCCCCGATACATCTTCAGAAATATCCACCAAGGTATCAGATATGGATCACTAACCTACGTTAAATATGGATCACTGACCTACGTTAAATATAGATCACTGACCTATGTTAAATATGGATCACTGACCTACGTTATCTATGGATCACTGACCTACGTTATATATGGATCACTGACCTACGTTATATATGGATCACTGACCTACGTTAAATTTGGATCCCTGACCTACGTTAAATATGGATCACAGACCTACGTTAAATATGGATCACAGACCTACGTTAAATATGGATCACAGACCTACGTTAAATATGGATCACAGACCTACGTTAAATATGGATCACAGACCTACGTTAAATATGGATCAGAGACCTACGTTATATATAGATCACTGACCTACGTTATATATGGATCACTTACCTACGTTAAATATGGATCCCTGACCTACGTTAAATATGGATCACAGACCTACGTTAAATATGGATCCCAGACCTACGTTATATATAGATCACTGACCTACGTTAAATATGGATCCCTGACCTACGTTAAATATGGATCACTGACCTACGTTAGATATGGATCACTGACCTACGTTATATATGGATCACTGACCTACGTTAAATATGGATCCCTGACCTACGTTAAATATGGATCACAGACCTACGTTATATATAGATCACTGACCTACGTTAAATATGGATCACCGACCTACGTTAAATATGGATCACCGACCTACGTTAAATATGGATCACCGACCTACGTTATATATGGATCACTGACCTACGTTATATATGGATCACTTACCTACGTTAAATATGGATCCCTGACCTACGTTAAATATGGATCACCGACCTACGTTAAATATGGATCACCGACCTACGTTAAATATGGATCACCGACCTACGTTAAATATGGATCACCGACCTACGTTATATATGGATCACTGAGCTACGTTAAATATGGATCCCTGACCTACGTTAAATATGGATCACTGTCCTACGTTAAATATAGATCACCGACCTACGTTAAATATGGATCCCTGACCTACGTTAAATATGGATCACAGACCTACGTTAAATATGGATCACAGACCTACGTTATATATAGATCACTGACCTACGTTAAATATGTCACTGACCTACGTTATATATGGATCACAGACCTACGTTATATATAGATCACTGACCTACGTTAAATATGTCACTGACCTACGTTATATATGGATCACAGACCTACGTTAAATATAGATCACTGACCTACGTTAAATATAGATCACGGACCTACGTTAAATATAGATCACTGACCTACGTTTAATATGGATCACCGACCTACGTTAAATATGGATCACCGACCTACGTTAAATATGGATCACTGACCTACGTTAATATGGATCACTATCCTACGTTAAATATAGATCACCGACCTACGTTAAATATGGATCACCGACCTACGTTAAATATAGATCACCGACCTACGTTAAATATGGATCACCGACCTACGTTATATATGGATCACCGACCTACGTTATATTTAGATCACTGACCTACGTTATATATGGATCACCGACCTACGTTATATTTAGATCACTGACCTACGTTATATATGGATCACCGACCTACGTTATATATGGATCACAGACCTACGTTAAATATAGATCACTGACCTACGTTATATATGGATCACTGACCTACGTTATATATGGATCACCGACCTACGTTATATTTAGATCACTGACCTACGTTATATATGGATCACCGACCTACGTTATATATGGATCACTGACCTACGTTAAATATGTCACTGACCTACGTTAAATATAGATCACTGACCTATGTTAAATATAGATCACTGACCTACGTTAAATATGGATCACTGACTTACGTTAAATATAGATCACTGACCTACGTTATATATAGATCACTGACCTACGTTATATATGGATCAATGTCAGACCTACGTTAAATATGGATCACTGACCTACGTTTAATATGGATCACTGACCTACGTTATATATAGATCACTGACCTACATTTAATATGGATCACTGACCTACGTTAAATATGGATCACTGACCTACGTTAAATATGGATCACTGTCCTACGTTAAATATAGATCACTGACCTACGTTATATATGGATCACAGACCTACGTTAAATATGGATCAATGTCAGACCTACGTTAAATATGGATCACTGACCTACGTTAAATATAGATCACTGACCTACGCTATATATAGATCACTGACCTACGTTAAATATAGATCACTGACCTACGTTAAATATGGATCACTGACCTACGTTAAATATGGATCACTGACCTACGTTAAATATGGATCACCGACCTACGTTAAATATGGATTACTGACCTACGTTATATATGGATCACGGACCTACATTTAATATGGATCACTGACCTACGTTATATATGGATCACTGACCTACGTTAAATATGGATCACCGACCTAAACTTCAGAAGTTTTCATGTATTTTTGGTGGAGTTATGCCCCTTTTATTGCCAATAAGGACATTGTGTAGTAAATGCAAGAACTTTTATTATTTTTTAATCAGTTCCTTTCAAATTTTGTATGGTTATGCTAGAAGCAATAATATTCAACAAATATTACAGGTTTTTCTTTCATGTTTCAACTTTCCGCGATTTGGCTTATCACACTTGATATAGCAATGCTGTTCATCCTTTTTGCCGTTTATTTTGCTTGTTTACGCAATAACTCAAGCCAAAACAGTTTTCTCACTAAAAGCACTGAGCAGGCGACACATCCACTCCTGTGGAATTCTTGTTTGTTCTATGAAGTCATATCCTGTTGTTGTGCTGACATAGTTTGTGTAATAACAGGCCATGGTTGACGCAATGAAGCCTGGTTCTGTGGTGGTGGATCTTGCTGCTGAGGCTGGAGGTAACATCGAGACCATCAAGCCCGGGGAGCTGTACCGCTACAACGACGTAACACACGTTGGGTACACTGACCTTCCCAGTCGTCTCCCCACACAGTCCAGTACGCTGTACGCCAACAACATATCCAAGCTCCTCTTGTCATTTGGTAACTTTATTATTATTATTTAGGTAATTTGAAGGTACAAACTAACATTATATTGTTGTATCATTATATCATCAAATACTTTAAATTTATGAATATCAAAGTTTTACTTTCTACACAAACAATGTACATATTAAACGTGTCACAACGTTTCAAGACCGACTGGTCCCTTTGTCATGCTATGACTGAGTGAGTGATTTGTGTTGTTTACCTGTACAAGGAAGAGACAAATTTGTCCATTTCTTGGGTCACTCGACCCAGGACGTTTCTCCTATTGATACAGATGGTACACTGTATGGAATAGGTTACTGGTAGGGCTATGTCAGTAGTGGGTCACCTTGGCACACATTTAATACATACATTGATTGGGTATAAAGTAAAACTTTTATATTACATATTTCCAAACTGATGAATCTTAATGCAAATACTTTATGGTCGATTCAATATATCCTATACTTAGTTGGAAATATCAGTATTTTGTGGTGCTAATTAAATCTTTGGCTTGTACATCTATTCTGCCATGATTAAATATAAGTAGCTTGATCATTTTAATATGTATTGCATTCTTTTCTACTTTATTTGATGCGTCTTTTTAACTGTGTGTATATCAAATGTGGTAAAGTGATGAAAACCATAATAAGTAAACATCAGTCTAGAAATGGGAAAGTTGAACAATTTGGATGTAAGGATTGTTGATCACTTTTCACCTAGTACCATTAATTCAATACATAGCCACATCCAGTACATTCTGATTGACCGTATCCAATTTCTTGTAGGGGAGAAGGAGCACTTCAACATTAATCTGGAGGATGAAGTAGTGCGTGGGTCTATCGTCATGCACAACGTAAGTCTACTCCCAAACTTAGAGAATGTCAAACAGGTTTCAATGCCAGTAAAAGAAGGTTTTATTGTAACCCAACAGAACATTTTGCAGGGGACACAAGTTGTGACTTCACTTTGAACAAGATCTTTAGAATGTCAACATGTTTGACTGTACATGTAAAGGATATGAAGCAATTCATAGTGATTTTCATTACATCATAGAATAGAAATAAAATTGAGATTGTTTGTCGCTAGGTCAGAAAATTATAGAAATGGACTTGTTTCATACATATTTGACCACAAAATAGCCGCCCTCATCCCCCACTTTTTTGTCCTTTTCATTTAAATTGATATGATATTTTTACAGTCAATCAGTTTCACAAGATAGAGAACAGGCAATCCCTTTATACTGAGGGACCCATCTCGTTTAAACACAAAGTAGCCCCTATATAACTGAAAAACTGGTGTTGGTAGCAGTTACTTTATGTGGTCTCAGACAGCATTTACTAAACCTCTGGTCATAGACGAGCCAAGATTAGTGATACAATATTCTGGTTTATTTTTAACTTGAGAGACAACTTATAATATCAAAAGGATATGAATCTTGAGTATTCTATACAAAAATAAACCCTGGGGTTTAAGAATGGTAATGTAAGATCCTGATTCATTCAATATCAGTTTGTCATAAAAAGAAAAAGAAGCAAATTCACCAAAAATGTTTGGTTGTTCATAGGGTAATATTTTACACCCTCAACCCCCCAAAAAATAAACAAATTCACATTATTTTTTTTCATATTTTTCACAGGGTAATATTTTGCCCCCTGCCCCACCTCCGAAGTTGGATGCTGTAGCTCCAAAAGCAGCTGCAGCGGCTGTTAAGATTGAAGCACCACCTCCAGACAAGAGGGCCGAGACAATGCGTGAGGCAATGCTTTACTCAGCTGGACTGGTAGGGGCTGTGGGCCTCGGCACGATTTCACCAAACCCTGCCTTCGCCACCATGTTTACAACATTCAGTCTGTCAGGAATTGTGGGTAAGGCCATGGTAAAATCAAACCTTGTTTGTATGTCGTTAAAACTGTTGAGGATTATGGGTAAGGTCAAATTTTGCTCAAGCTGTTGTAAAAATTATATTCATTTATTAAAATAGAATTTTTTGGAGGAAAAAAAAAATTCAAATTACAAAAGATATATATATATAAAAATTATAAATGATAATATTGACTTTGAACATATAGGTTAATGCTGGCCAATTGTGTTTCTAGGTTACCACACAGTGTGGGGTGTAACTCCGGCCCTTCACTCTCCCCTTATGTCGGTCACCAACGCCATCTCCGGAACAACAGCGGTAGGTGGTCTTCTCCTTATGGGTGGGGGCTACATGCCAACCAACTCCCTGCAGGCCTTCGCTGCTGCAGCTACGTTCCTCTCGGCTATCAACATTGGCGGCGGCTTCAGCGTCACTCAGAGAATGCTCGACATGTTCAAGCGCCCAAGTAAGTACTTCATACTCAAACAATCTTGGCATGATCCCATGTTTGTTGTCTCCACTACGCCCCGTCCTTTAACAGTAAAATCTGTGGTCTCTTTTACCTTCCAGGCTTAATACAACAATCATATGGCCAGTGCATTGGTCCAGCTCTTTAGAGGAATATATCATTAAAAATGGAGAAATCTCCAATTTCTGTTGTTTTTAGTTTTACAGCTAGTCTCTCAGTATGTTGTTTGTTTTACAGCTGACCCCCCAGAGTACAACTCCCTGTACGCCATACCTGCAGGAGCATTCCTCGGATCTTATGGTTTAGCTGCGAATATGGGAAGCTATCCCGATGTTCACCAGATGGTGTACTTGGCTTCAGGACTGTGTTGTGTAGGAGCATTAACAGGACTGTCTTCACAGAAAACAGCACGTGTCGGTATGTCATCTTTCATACTTTTAACATATCATTCCTTAAGGTGGCTCCACACATCGTCATCAGCGTCCATTTTCGTGACGTACTTCCGGAAAAAGTACAGCTAGGACTCAATTATCTTGATCGAAATGTGCATGTACACCGTGTCGTCATTTCCGTATTGCGTATCGGGCATTCAATATCGTAGTGCAAATTATAGTAACACCTGCTGGGCCGTTTTCATTTAAACGGTCAAACCGATCGGACCACTGTTGTTCGTTTATTAAATAAGGTCGGACCTAGTAATCTGATGCTGCTTTCAGGCAAATCTTGAGAAAGCCTTGCAAGGCCTGCATACACATTTGCAGGTCCGCCAGGATTTATACCCGAAATTGTTACATTTATAAACGGTCAAACCGGTTGTTCCGCATAAACGAACAGGCACAATAGTACACGTGCATGCCGATGATATGTCAACACCCGATATCGAGATTTTACCGGGAAATGTATAATCACACGTACTTCAGGAATAAATAGACTCACGGGAAGACAGTGACATGAGACCAGACGACCTCAAGAAGGTCATATAGGAAACACATGGAATGCGGACGTACCGACCTCACATGTGCATATCGCGTGTTTACACGAGTTCATAAGCTCGAGGTCGTTACGATTTTCGCTGTTGAGGGAGTTCGCTCTGTCGTTTAATCGTGTTTACAAATGTAGTCTACTAGCTTACTCTGTGAAAATAATGTTTTGTAAAATATCAAGATACCTATGAAATGCATGTGTGAGTGCACGTGAGAACGGCATACCATGCGATAGCCTCTTACCTGACATGTAATTATAAATATACCGTGAGTTAGCGGACTGTGGAATGATGTCCAAAGTGTACATGACTGAGGGTAATTTGGTTCCATTAAAGAACAATAAATTGATAATTTTTGATATCATATTTCTGATTTATTTCCATCATTTTTGTTATATGTAAACAGAGACAACTGCCATTGTGTAAATGTCACCCCTCTGCAAAAGGTTCTGATTTTTTTTAAGGAAGATAACTCTCACCCGGATCAAAGTGATTGTAAAATGTAGAATAAATTAATTATAAAGCCATTGTGTATATTTTGTTCAATTTCCCATTCTATATGTATAGATCTTTGTGTCCTGGGTGCTTTTAGCTTGTAGATAATCACTTTTATCCGTACAAATTCAATAAAAAACACTTTGTGTAACATGTGTTACATATTTTGCAATAAATAAAATATTTGTAGGGTTAATTAGAAATGCTTTTTTTCATTTTATTATTGTTGTTATTGTTCCGAACAATGACACACACAAAAAAACGGAAAATATTAAAATTGACGAAAATTCAATTTTTTGGTATTTTTTCCAAAAAAGTCCCCAAACTATCGAAATGTTTAGATTTTCACAAAATCAACCCGGCATAGTTGCATAACCATTATATGAAATTTTCAACAAATTTTGCTGGTTAATTGCGAAAGTGTGAAGCCACCTTAACTCATTCACCCCTGAAGACACATTTGAATCCTTCCAATTCAACAGTTCAAATAGTTATGAAATTTCAGGGGTGAATGAGATAAATGGAGGCATGGTAGTCTAGTGGTAGGATGCTTGACTCGTGACCGAAGGGTTGCGGGTTTGAGTCGCAGCACAGCACTGTGTTGTATCTTTGAGCAAGATACTTTACTCCACTTGTTCCAGTCCACTCAGCTGTTATTGAGTATGTGGTTTGGCAGTGCTAGAATTGTAGAATGCTTGCCGTGAGCGACGAAATGGCAGCACCGGCTGTATGCTCCCCAGGGAGTTGAGAAAGATATTGGCTGGTTGCAAAGGCCCTATAACCATGAATAATAATTTGTGAACCGCTTTGAGACGACCTAGGAACTAGGTTGTGATAAAGCGGTATCTATATAAGAACCTCAAATTAGAATAGAAGGCTTAGTAAATTGTTAGAACTTGTGCCCAATCACTTCAATTGTATTTAATCAAGAAATTATATTTGAATGAGAATCAAATGTTCTGTTGTAGTCACATGACCTGTTACGGTCACATGATCTGGTATAATCACATGACCTGTCACGGTCACATGATATGTTGTAATCACAAGATGTAGTGCTCAAATTGACCCCTGTGTTTGTCTTCACCAGGTAATGTCCTAGGAATGATTGGAGTGGCTGGAGCCCTCGGAGGGACCCTGGGAATCCTGAAGCCTAGCTATGAAAACTTCGCTCAGATGGCAGCATGTTTGGGATCAGGTAAGATTGTCAGCCGGTACGATTCACCGATACATTGTACTTAAGTCGTACACACTCCAATGTACCGGTTGCTGTATATGGTTATCTGTGGAATATATTACTTCAGAATCCTTAGGGTATACTTTGTCATTGTTTTGCAATGAAAAACTCACACTAACATCCCGGCCAACCAGAGTGATTAGTAGATGTTGTAAAACCTGGTTTCAAAATGGTTATAAAATAAAAAACATATTTATAATTGTGTTGCACAAGTTCTGGTTTGTCTTGTGGGTCTGTTTTATAGTAGCTGTCCCTTTTAGACAGGTGTCCTTCATGAAAATGTCTGTCTTATAGACAAGTGTAATTTATAGACAGGTGTAATTTATAGATTATAGACAGGTGTAATTTATAGATATTTCCTTTATATAAAGGTATGTCTTATAAACAGGTGCCGTTTATAAACAGGTGTAATTTATAGATTTGTCCTTAATAGAAAGGTCTATCTTAAAAGACAGGTGCCCTGTCTAGACAGGTGTTATCAATAGATATGTCCTTTATAGACAGATGTTAACAATAGAGGTGTCCTTTATAGACAGATGCCCTCTATAGACCGGTGTTATTAATAGAGGTGTCCTTTATAGACAGGTGTTATCAATAGAGGTGTCCTTCACCGACATACATGTTTTATGGTTGTAATGAGATTTGTTGCTTTGTTTGCCAGGTGGCTTACTTGGAACCGTGTTTGCTAAGCGTATGGAGGTGACTGACCTGCCTCAGGTCGTGGCCCTGTTCCACAGCCTGGTCGGTGTGGCTGCTGTGCTCACCTGCTACAGTAACTTCCTCCTGGAACAGCCTCACTTTGTTACAGACCCAGCTGCCAACGTCATCAAGACCTTCATTTTCCTGGGAACATTTATCGGAGGGGTCACCTTCACTGGAAGTCTGATAGCCTTCGGCAAACTTCACGGTAGGTTTTTCGGTGAAGTAGATCTTAGCAAGGCTTAAATTATCCACCAGAATTCAGCATTGCCAACCACAATCTGTCATATAAAGTCATCTGGTTGGCAAGAAAAAATGAGAAAAAAAGACATCAAATACCTGATAAAATATGTAAAGTAGTTTGGGTGTAATAAGCTGATAGTAAACACAGCTGTTTTTGTAGCTTTGTTGCATTACTCGAGTCAGATGCTGTCGATTTGAAAGATAATGATATTTATGTGATTCATATTAGGATGTGATGAGGATTGCTTTTTGTTTTATTTGAATCCAAGGATCAACAGTCACTCTACATCCCTCCTTTCAGGCTTAGTCCATCATCAGAATGACTTGATAATTATTTTATTAAATTAGTTGATCATGATAGTCAGACACATAATGGTATTCCTCTGTAAAGGTAGACACCATAGTACACTACATTCACAAAGCAATAAAGCAATGTTGCAGCAACTAATTGAGGTTGTACTGAAAGTGAAAAATAGCCACTTTTAGCCTTGTTTGGTAAATTCAAAGTCAGAATTTTCAAATACATATGTACTCCCCTGGGGATTGGGCCATGAACAATTATGATAAAAAAATCTATCAGTTTTGTCCTTTCTGATTCTGGTGTAAATTGATAAAATTCCACTATTGATATTACATGATAAATTTCAGTATTGAAAAAAACAAAACTTTTAGAACTGTGTAGATGTCGGTTGTTAAAGAAGGAAACCAAACATTTAGTAAGCTATTCTGTCTGTTAACATTACGATTACAAACCAATTAGCGATTAGGATTTTAAACCGATTAACTGTCACTACTTTCTCATAGCCCTGACTTGTATAGATTGGCATTATGCCTTTTACCTGAAAAAATTCTCCAGCAACCAGAGGACTCGTGTTTAGGTTCAGCAGGTTTTAATGTACTGTGACATAGAAATAAATTGGATGGACATAATTTTGACAAGAGCGTTCTTGGATAAGGAGCTTTGGGAATACTTGTATTTGTAATTCAAACAATAGTCTGGATGCATGTGGTGTGTTTTTTCATTTTCAGGTGTCCTGAAGTCCGAACCATTACATTTACCAGGGAGACATTTACTGAATGGCTCTATGATGGCGAGCAATGTTGCCGCCATGGGTATGTTCTTGGCAAGTGACTGCCCAACAACCACTATGGGTATGCTTGGAGTCACCACAGCTTTGTCCTCCGTGATGGGTGTGACCCTTACTGCAGCCATCGGAGGTATGTAGGCTCCAGGGAAAGATCTGTGAAATGATAGGGGATACAAAGATGGATAGAGGCTACTAAGTACACGTATGGGGAGGGAGTACAAAGTTTGGGAGAGGGTACCTGTCATAGCGATTGGGAAAGAGGCACTTGTGGGTATAGTTGTTACAGAAGTCCTTGTGTGGCCTTAGGAGAGAAAGAGATGTTCCTGTGTTAGACAGGGGTAGAAGGAGATGTTCCTGTGTTAGACAGGGGTAGAAGGTGATGTTCCTGTGTTAGACAGGGGTAGAATGAGATGTTCCTGTGTTAGACAGGGGTAGAAGGGCAGGGGTAGAAGGAGATGTTTCTGTGTTAGACAGGGGTAGAAGGAGATGTTCCTGTGTTAGACAGGGGTAGAAGGAGATGTGCCTGTGTTAGACAGGGGTAGAAGGTGGTGTTCCTGTGTTAGACAGGGGCAGAAGGAGATGTTCCTGTGGTAGACAGGGGTAGAAGGAGATGTTCTTGTGTTAGACAGGGGTAGAAGGATATGTTCTTGTGTTAGACAGGGGTAGAAGGTGATGTTTCTGTGTTAGACAGGGGGAGAAGGGCAGGGGTAGAAGGAGAGGTTTCTGTGTTAGACAGGGGTAGGAGGAGATGTTACTGTGTTAGACAGGGGTAGAAGGAGATGTTCCTGTGTTAGACAGGAGATAGAAGGAGGTGTTCCTGTGTTAGACAGGGGTAGAAGGAGATGTTCCTGTGTTAGACAGGAGATAGAAGGAGGTGTTTCTGTGTTAGACAGGGGTAGGGGGAGATGTTCCTGTGTTAGACAGGGGTAGGAGATGGTCCTGTGTTAGACAGGGGTAGAAGGAGATGTGTCTGTGTTAGACAGGGGTAGAAGGAGATGTTCCTGTGTTAGACAGGGGTAGAAGGGCAGGGGTAGCAGGAGATGTTTCTGTGTTAGACAGGGGTAGGAGGAGATGTTCCTGTGTTAGACAGGGGTAGAAGGAGATGTTCCTGTGTTAGACAGGGGTAGAAGGTGATGTTCCTGTGTTAGACAGGGGTAGAAGGGCAGGGGTAGAAGGAGGTGTTTCTGTGTTAGACAGGGGTAGAAGGAGATGTTCCTGTGTTAGACAGGGTTAGAAGGAGATGTTCCTGTGTTAGACAGGGGTAGAAGGAGATGTTTCTGTGTTAGACAGGGGTAGAAGAAGTTGTTTATAATTTTTATCATGGTTATTGGCATAGATTTCATAATGATAACTCCTTCATTCTGACTGGGTGATATTAGTGGCAGATCCTGAAACTAGAATGTATGTTGTATAATGTATGTATGTTATATAATGTATGTATGTTGTATAATGTATGTATGTTGTATAATGTATGTATGTTGTATAATGTATGTATGTTGTATAATGTATGTATGTTGTATAATGTATGTATGTTGTATAATGTATGTATGTTGTATAATGTATGTATGTTGTATAATGTATGTATGTTGTATAATGTATGTATGTTGTATAATGTATGTATGTTGTATAATGTATGTATGTTGTATAATGTATGTATGTTGTATAATGTATGTATGTTGTATAATGTATGTATGTTGTATAATGTATGTATGTTGTATAATGTATGTATGTTGTATAATGTATGTATGTTGTATAATGTATGTATGTTGTATAATGTATGTATGTTGTATAATGTATGTATGTTGTATAATGTATGTATGTTGTATAATGTATGTATGTTGTATAATGTATGTATGTTGTATAATGTATGTATGTTGTATAATGTATGTATGTTGTATAATGTATGTATGTTGTATAATGTATGTATGTTGTATAATGTATGTATGTTGTATAATGTATGTATGTTGTATAATGTATGTATGTTGTATAATGTATGTATGTTGTATAATGTATGTATGTTGTATAATGTATGTATGTTGTATAATGTATGTATGTTGTATAATGTATGTATGTTGTATAATGTATGTATGTTGTATAATGTATGTATGTTGTATAATGTATGTATGTTGTATAATGTATGTATGTTGTATAATGTATGTATGTTGTATAATGTATGTATGTTGTATAATGTATGTATGTTGTATAATGTATGTATGTTGTATAATGTATGTATGATGTATAATGTATGTATGTTGTATAATGTATGTATACTGTATAATGTATGTATGTTGTATAATGTATGTTGTATAATGTATAATGTATGTATGTTGTATAATGAATGTATGTTGTATAATGTATGTATGTTGTATAATGTATGTATGTTGTATAATGTATGTATATTGTATAATGTATGTATGTTGTATAATGTATGTTGTATAATGTATAATGTATGTATGTTGTATAATGTATGTATGTTGTATAATGTATAATGTATGTTGTATAATGTATGTATGTTGTATAATGTATTTTGATTTCCTCAGTTAGAATTGGTTACAGTGATTTTACGAAAATGACTCGCATTCGAGTTAGGCATCAATTTGATGATGAAATAGTATAAATAAATGTAACATTTGTAATATGCCACAAGGATTTGATATATAAATATCTGTTAATATGTTGTTCAGAATTAATTGTTGTAAATATGTTTTTCCGAAATCTAATAATTTGAAAATAAGATCATATCACAGCATCCTTTTTAATTTAGAAAAAGGGTTGTAATCCAATAGTGAACCATTGTCAGTGGAGATTATAAACTAATTTTTATTTCTCCAGGTGCTGACATGCCTGTGGTCATCACTGTGCTCAACAGCTACTCTGGCTGGGCACTGTGTGCTGAAGGCTTCATGTTGAACAATAACATCATGACCATTGTCGGTGCCATGATTGGATCCTCAGGAGCCATTCTCTCCTACATCATGTGTAAGGTGAGTAGTGATTGGTTTTCTCCTGCATCATGTGTAAGGTGAGTAGTAATTGGTTCATTCCTGCATTAAGTGTACAGGTAGTAGTCATTGGTTATTCCCGAACAAAAGTCAGTATCACTTGTCAGCACTATACTTCAGGTGTTTTACCATAGTCCCGTGTCATGTCCAGGTGTTTTACCAGAGGCCCGTGTCATGTCCAGGTGTTTTACCATAGTCCTGTGTCATGTCCAGGTGTTTTACCCTAGTCCCGTGTCATGTCCATGTGTGTCTAGAAGTTTGGATAAGGCCAAATATAATTGTCCAGGTGTTTTACCATAGTCCCGTGTCATGTCCGGGTGTTTTACCATAGTCCCGTGTCATGTCCAGGAGTTTTACCATAGTCCCGTGTCGTGTCCATGTGTTTTACCATAGTCCCGTGTCATGTCCATGTGTTTTATCATAGTCCCGTGTCATGTCCAGGTGTTTAACCATAGTCCCATGTCATGTCAAGGTGTTTTACCATAGTCCCGTGTCATGTCCAGGAGTTTTACCATAGTCCCGTGTCGTGTCCATGTGTTTTACCCTAGTTCCGTGTCATGTCCAGGTGTTTTACCATAGTCCCATGTCATGTCCATGTGTTTTACCATAGGCCTGTGTCATGTCCAGGTGTTTTACCATAGGCCCGTGTCATGTCCAGGTGTTTTACCATAGTCCCGTGTCGTGTCCAGGTGTTTTACCATAGTCCTGTGTCATGTCCATGTGTTTTATCATAGTCCCGTGTCATGTCCATGTGTTTTACTACATCATGTGTAAGGTGAGTAGTGATTGGTTTTCTCCTGCATCATGTGTAAGGTGAGTAGTAATTGGTTCATTCCTGCATTAAGTGTACAGGTAGTAGTCATTGGTTATTCCCGAACAAAAGTCAGTATCACTTGTCAGCACTATACTTCAGGTGTTTTACCATAGTCCCGTGTCATGTCCAGATGTTTTACCATAGTCCCGTGTCGTGTCCAGGTGTTTTACCATAATCCTGTGTCATGTCCAGGTGTTTTACCATAGTCCTGTGTCATGTCCGGGTGTTTTACCATAGTCCCGTGTCATGTCCAGGAGTTTTACCATAGTCCCGTGTCATGTCCATGTGTTTTATCATAGTCCTGTGTCATGTCCAGGTGTTTTACCATAGTCCCATGTAATGTCCAGGTGTTTTACCATAGTCCCGTGTCATGTCCGGGTGTTTTACCATAGTCCCGTGTCATGTCCAGGAGTTTTACCATAGTCCCGTGTCGTGTCCATGTGTTTTACCCTAGTTCCGTGTCATGTCCAGGTGTTTTACCATAGTCCCGTGTCGTGTCCAGGTGTTTTACTATAGTCCCGTGTCATGGCCATGTGTTTTACCATAGTCCCGTGTCATGTCCATGTGTTTTATCATAGTCCCGTGTCATGTCCAGGTGTTTAACCATAGTCCCATGTCATGTCCAGGTGTTTTACTATAGTCCCGTGTCATGTCCATGGGTTTTACCATAGTCCCGTGTCATGTCCATGTGTTTTATCATAGTCCCGTGTCATGTCCATGTGTTTTACTACATCATGTGTAAGGTGAGTAGTGATTGGTTTTCTCCTGCATCATGTGTAAGGTGAGTCGTAATTGGTTCATTCCTGCATTAAGTGTACAGGTAGTAGTCATTGGTTATTCCCGAACAAAAGTCAGTATCACTTGTCAGCACTATCCTTCAGGTGTTTTACCATAGTCCCGTGTCATGTCCATGTGCTTTACCATAGTCCCGTGTCATGTCCAGGTGTTTAACCATAGTCCCATGTCATGTCAAGGTGTTTTACCATAGTCCCGTGTCATGTCCAGATGTTTTACCATAGTCCCGTGTCGTGTCCAGGTGTTTTACTATAGTCCCGTGTCATGTCCATGGGTTTTACCCTAGTCCCGTGTCATGTCCAGGTGTTTTACCATAATCCTGTGTCATGTCCAGGTGTTTTACCATAGTCCTGTGTCATGTCCATGTGTTTTATCATAGTCCCGTGTCATGTCCAGGTGTTTAACCATAGTCCCATGTCATGTCAAGGTGTTTTACCATAGTCCCGTGTCATGTCCAGGAGTTTTACCATAGTCCCGTGTCGTGTCCATGTGTTTTACCCTAGTTCCGTGTCATGTCCAGGTGTTTTACCATAGTCCCATGTCATGTCCATGTGTTTTACCATAGTCCCGTGTCGTGTCCAGGTGTTTTACCATAGTCCTGTGTCATGTCCATGTGTTTTATCATAGTCCCGTGTCATGTCCAGGTGTTTAACCATAGTCCCGTGTCATGTCCAGGTGTTTTACTATAGTCCCATGTCATGTCCAGGTGTTTTACCATAGTCCCGTGTCGTGTCCAGGTGTTTTACCATAATCCCGTGTCATGTCCAGGTGTTTTACCATAGTCCTGTGTCATGTCCAGGTGTTTTACCCTAGTCCCGTGTCATGTCCATGTGTGTCTAGAAGTTTGGATAAGGCCAAATATAATTAATTACTTGGTTCTCAGGCCAATCTTTCTCAAAATAGATGTGGCAGGGTGGTAATTTTTTTTTTCATTTTACATGGCAAAAACGAGACGAGGGCAACTTTATTTTATTGTGTAGTTTGTAAAACGTTCATTGTGGACATTACCTTGTCTTTTTATAGTTGTGTAGAGACCCGTCATAGGGCAAGCCTCCGAAAATCCCCCCACGATGTTCCAGACGAGAATCACGAACCCCCCATTCCTTATTTGTACCGAAATGAGTGCCATTTGTACACAAGACTAATAAGTCATACTCATTTTAACGCTTGTTTGTATCTCAATCCTTACCTTTATTCAAACGTTTTCGGGACTTGGGTGACTAACGAGTAAAAACGACATGCGGACCAATTTTCCGGATTTTTTTAAAGATGGGGGCTGGCGCATTCACAATTTTATTTTTATTATTTTCTTGCTAAAATCGGCAATGCGCATGGTGCCATGAAATGCGCGCGGGCCTGAGAACCAAGTAAACAAAATTTTTTGGCCTTAGTTGGTCAATAAAACTGAAATGAAAAAATGCTCATTGTTATAATTGCATGATGAGTTCTTCCCCAACATCCACCAAAACAAAAGCAAATGGATATAAAGTTGATTCCGAAAACCAATGTGCCTATTTGACAGTTATCATTAGGTTGAAGGTATCTGATTTAACCAATTAATGAATCTCAATGAATTTGACATAACTGATATCAGCCATAAGTCATTTCCAAAGTCAGTTGACTGTTAGTAATTAGGACAGTTTTATATTGTTGTTTTTTAGCACTCGTTAAATGAGTGATGTTTTCCTTGCAGGCCATGAACCGATCCTTGACCAGTGTAATCCTTGGAGGGTACGGTACCAAAGGTACTGGCACCGGTAAACCAATGGAGATCACTGGGGAACACACCGAGATCAATGTAGATTATGCTAGTGAACTGATCACACAAGCCCGCAGCATCATCATCACCCCCGGTTACGGACTCTGTGTTGCCAAGGCACAGTACCCTATTGCTGAAATGGTGGAACTTCTCAAGAAAAAGGGCATCAACTGTCGCTTTGGTGTCCACCCCGTGGCAGGTATGTACATCATTAGACATCAGTCAAAGTGTCTTATTGTTGCGACCAATGTTAAGTCAATTCGTCATGGAAGAATTTATGCTTGCTGGCATTTGGTTGTATATAATGGGTAACCTTTAATATTAACCCTCTCACCACTGTAAACCATAATAGACTCATCTAAATGAATGTATGCTAGAGTCTACTCGAGTTATCTAGGGGTGAAAGAGTTAAGGATGGGGAGACAAAATTGATTCTTAATTTGGTGGTTGGTTGATAACCCTTCAAAGATGATACCACAGCTTTATCTCAATAAAGTGGTGTCAATATGACCTAAAGTCTTGAAATCATTGTTATCTCTTAATTTTCAGGTCGTATGCCGGGTCAGCTGAACGTTTTGCTGGCTGAGGCTGGAGTACCATACGATGTTGTCCTGGAGATGGATGAGATTAACGAAGACTTTCCGGAAACCGACCTTGTGTTGGTAATTGGTGCCAACGACACCGTGAACTCAGCAGCTGAGGAGGATCCTAACTCCATCATTGCAGGCATGCCTGTGCTCCGCGTGTGGAACTCCAAAAATGTACGTCACTGCTCGTTATGTATCAACATTCCTGTTTGTGGATGGTGTGTCGTTTATGTTATTTAAACTGGGTAGTCCATATAAAAAAATACACTCGTAAATTAAAAATTATAAATATCAAAGATTTATGGCTCGAAACAGTAAATATAGAAATTTTATTCCCATGTCTTATTCACAAACTCATTTTACTGAAAGTCTGAAACAGGTTTATGATATTTCAATTGTGTTGAAAGGGTGAGAAACCATTAAACCCATCAAAATAACAGGAAAAGAAAGATCAGGAAAAAAACAATTTAAAAAAAAAGAAGTTCATGTGTAAAGTAAATGCAATGGTATAACTATGTACAGGTATTGTCAGAGACTCCATTCCCAACAAAGTAATCCCCCCCCCCCCCCAAAATTTAAAAAAATAGAAATAAAATAATAATGTGTAAGTAAATGGTAATAACTACGTATTTGAACATCAATCTTTTGAAATCCTGGTTTAATACTCAGCATAGCCTAACATTAGTTTTAGACAGATGTTAGGGGGGGGGTCCTGGTTTAATACTCAGCATAGCCTAACATTAGTTTTAGACAGATGTTAGTGGGGAGGGGGTTAAGGGTTATCAGGAAGTGTTGGATGATAGCAGATTAATAAAACTAAATAATAAAATATTAATATATTGATGTGCTGTAAAGCATAATTAAATTGAAATTTTGGAATCTGATGTGATTACAGGTGATCGTGATGAAGAGGACCCTTGGTGTAGGTTATGCTGCCGTAGACAACCCAATCTTCTTCAAGGAGAATACCTCCATGTTGCTAGGAGACGCCAAGAAGACCTGTGATGCTCTATTGTCCAAAGTTCGCGCACACTACGAAGATTAACGCTAATCCACCATTAGCAACCTTGAACTCAATAGTGCTGCAGATTTGTTTCACTCATACATTTTTTCTCGTGTGAAAATCATGTTAAAAATTCACTGAGAATTTTTTAGTGTGTGTGAACCATTTCTACGTTTACAGGAAAAGTGCTTTCACCAAACCTTGAATACGACAGTTGAAGAAAAAGTTTTTTAAGTTCACCAGAGAAATGAATCATGATCAAAATGATGATTAAGTGGTTGACTTGCATTTAGCATTCATTACTAAACTGGACATGACCCTAGAAAGTATTATTGCTGAGGAGCAACCAACGGCAGCACCTTTCTAGTCATTATACAAAAATGACTTTCACTGTCTGTTTATTGACAATTTGTCGCTCTTTGTCAGTGTCGAATTTTCGACAATTACGAAAGACTATATTATCCAACCCCATTTTACAATCCTTATTTCTTTATATGCAGCTCTTTTTATCCCGATAACTAAATTGAAAAATGTATTTTGGTTAAAAATAGAAAAATTGTCATCTTCGAAAAACCCAACATGCTCTCGTTGACCGAGTTCTTATGTTTCACTGAAGGTATAGGCTGCTACCAAGATTTCACTCTCTTTTTTTCCCAAAAATATTTTTCAGTTTAATTGGCGAGAATAACTGCATGCTATAAGATTAATATTGGTAAATTGGGTATATTAGATGCATAAAAAAAATCTCCACACCTATTAAAATTAGCCAAAAAGTTCCTTTGTGAAAACAAACTTGTTATGGACCATAGCTATTTATCAGACATGAAAATCTGTATTCCATTCCTGGCTGATGTCTCTCAGATTGAACTTTGTACAGGAGACATATTCTTAAGATGAAAAAACAATGTAGCAGACCACCAACTCTGTGTAAAGAATCTCTATTTGTACTGGGTTTAATCCTTTCACCACTGTAGTGGACTCATCCAGATCAATACATGGTAGAGTCTACGAAAGTTACATAGTGGTGAAACGTTTAAATAGATTTGTCCTGCTTTAGTGACAGATGCCCACTTACTGGCTGGGTCAAGTTATTTAAGGACTACGTATTAATTGTTAATCACAACTAAATTAGTCAGAGTACAGTTTTGAGCCCTGTTTTGAATTTTGTGTATTTATTTTGCTGCAATTAATGGTTGTTTGGTGCTGTAGGTTGAACCTTCAGCACAGGGTGTCTTTACATTTACACAATGTACCAGGTGGAAACTAGTCTGGTGAAGTAAATTTCATTTTATATACAAACTCACATCTTTGTTGTGTATTCATTGCAAGAAACTTTGCCATCTTACAAATGCAAAACAATGCAACCTCTGGTTCTGATGACGGCCCACTAGGTTGGCCGAGACATGTAAACTGGATTAAATTTGCTGTTGTCTGGTCATCTCTCCTTTGAATTTCTATTACTCTTATGGCCAGACAAGTGAATTCCATTACTCTTATGGCCAGACAAGTGAATTCCATTACTGACAAGTGAATTCCATTACTCCTATGGCCAGACAAGTGAAATCTATTACTCCTATGGCCAGACAAGTGAATTCCATTCAGGAATCCATTAACTGGGCTGCGCAGACCTTCACTGAACATCCACTAGCGGATCTCATTCTCCCTTGTAAATGGGAAACAAGGGAAGCCTTGATTATGGGAACAATCTCTGTAATACTGTAAGTACACAGGTTATAGGAGAGGAGAAATGCAAGCTTGACCAAGATTTGAACCCAGGAACCCCAAACTCGTAAGACAGTTGGTGTAACCAGTTTAGCTATCAGGTTGTTGGCAATGGACTCGGTCCAGTTGCGCTACATATATTTAAGAGGTAATGATACTATTTTAGTGTTTTCAGCCCAAAACCTCGAATGCTAATCCATGTACATCACTGATGCTAATATGTCTTAAATTCACTGAACCAATGTGGACCTATTTTTACAGAAAACATTTGCAACAGGCACTGTGATCATTTTTAGCTCACCAGGCCCAAAGGGCCAAGTGAGCTTATGGCATGGTGCAGCATCGGTTCGGCATCAACTTTTTACTTTTAACAACTTCTTCTCAGTAACCAAATGTCATTTGAAGATTAAAGACATTTACCCCTGTGACCTTGAAAGTTGGTCAAGGTCATTCATTTGAACAAACTTGGTAGCCCTTCATCGCAGCATGCTACAGGCCCAATATCAGTACCCTGGGCCTTTTGGTTATTGAGAAGAAGTTGTTTGAAGATTTTAACATTTTTTACCCCTGTGACCTTTAAAGTTGGTCAAGGTCATTCATTTGAACAAACTTTATCCCAGCATGCTACAGGAAAATATCACTACCCTGGGCCTTTGGTTTTTGAGAAGTTGTTTGAAGATTTTACGACATTTGACCCTTGTGACCTTGAAAGTGGGTCAAGGTCATTTATTTGAACAAACTTGGTAGCCCTTCATCCCAGCATGCTACTTGCCAAATATCATCACCCTGGGCATTTCGGTTATTCAAAAGATGTTGTTTAAAGTAAAATATTGACGACGGCACCATGCCACAAGCTCACTTGGCCCTTCTGGCAAGGTGAGTTAATAAGATAAGATTTCAAAACATTGCCAGGCAAATATTTCCACACTCCGATCAGTCGAGCACAATGTGAACATTTCCACATGTGAGAATTTCTATTTTTACAGTAATGTAGCAGTCTCTCATGCCCATACTTGAAGACCGATAAACATAGTAACAAACCGTCTCTCAATCTAATTGACAGATTTTCTCCCTGGAGTTGCTATCAAAAGTAACAGGAAAATGTTCTACTTGACTAGCTTCGGTGTGATATTCACGTAGTTTGATATGCTATCAGTCTGATATTCATGTAGTTTGATATGCTATCAGCCTGATATTTACGTAGTTTGATATGCTATCAGCCTGATATTTACATAGCTTGATATGCCATCAGCCTGATATTTACATAGCGTCATGCTATCAGTCTGATATTCATGTAGTTTGATATGCTATCAGCCTGATATTTACGTAGTTTGATATGCTATCAGCCTGATATTTACATAGCTTGATATGCCATCAGCCTGATATTTACATAGCGTCATGCTATCAGTCTGATATTCATGTAGTTTGATATGCTATCAGCCTGATATTTACGTAGTTTGATATGCTATCAGCCTGATATTTACATAGCTTGATATGCCATCAGCCTGATATTTACATAGCGTCATGCTATCAGTCTGATATTCATGTAGTTTGATATGCTATCAGCCTGATATTTACGTAGTTTGATATGCTATCAGCCTGATATTTACATAGCTTGATATGCCATCAGCCTGATATTTACATAACTTGATATGCTATCAGCCTGATATTTACATAGCTTGATATGCTACATGTATCAGCCAGATATTTACATAACTTGATATGCTATCAGCCTGAAATTTACATAGCGTCATGCTATCAAAATTTTCTTACTGAATTACCTCAACCCACTCTCAAGAGACAATTCTGTTAAAAACAAAACAAGGCTGGTGATGAAGGCAAATTGGCTTCTTGTTTATTTATAATTGTACAATCCAACATATTTTTTCTCGAATACGTCTCTTGTTCACATGCAAGTTTCTGACATTTATGCTTACAATACTACATATAATACTGTCCTTATATAATGAATCTATTACAGACTAATGTACAAAATATAACCATAAAAGTAAAATCAAACCATACACTAATATTTATACACACACAGAGCTTCTTACTGTAACTCCCTAGCGCTTTCACCTCGTGATGTTCACCAGGAGATGTTGGTTCCACTGATAAATATATCAGCTAACTCATAGGATGGCACATCTTTGCTAGCCAAGGGGAATGATCCTGTACAACCTACCTACTCGCAGAGTTGTACCGGACCGTCACCCTCGGCTAACGAAGATGTGGATGGCAGTGTAGTGACATCCCTGATGAACCTCTAAAGAGGTGAAAGTGCTGGACAGCTACTGAAGAAACTCCTCATTTTAATTTGTATTTATATAAACCCTCACAAGGACTAACAATGGTTGTGGATTAGACACTATATCTAGTGTTCACTTTAATTGTTTGACTGCTAATGCTGCTATAACTTCAGCTGTATGTAAGGATATCCCTGCCCCACTGCACTGTGGGTTTTCCTTTATACAGTTACCTCCCCTGAACGTCTGTTTAGATGTGCCTGTATCACAATGGTTGTGCTAATGTTATGGATATAAGCCGAAAACTGTCTAATAAGTGAGAGAAAGGACAGGTGTCGAGGCCCTGTTCTGTATAACCACAGTATACTCCAACTTAGAGTCTAAAGCTCATTGTTACCGTATTCAGGTCAATAGCGAACACAATTTTTAAACTGAAAATATCAATATCACATTTTTTGAGGAATGCTTAGATGTGTATTTCTGTCCTGAACATGGCAATATGATGAACGATGCACAATCAGTCCATCCTGTGAATATTGCAACAAGAGGCCCAGAGGGCCTGTATCGCTCACCTGAATATGTTTAAAATAATTGGTATGAAGTAAAGATATAGCACTCCATGGTAGGTGCTGTAAGTACATATGAAATTTCAGAAAGATCCATCCAGTACTTGAGATATAGCGAGAACAAACTTTAAACAGAGCCCCACCCCTATGCCCCTAGGGGGGTCATACCCACCAATTATACAAAATTGAGTCCCCGTGGTCCAAGGATGCTCCAGACTAAATTAGGATAAAATCCCTTAATCTCTATGGTCGAAGTAGGATTTTAAAGGTTTTACCTCTATTTCTCCTATTGGAACCCGCCTCTCTGCCTTCAGGGGGGTTAGACACACCGTTTATACAAAATTGGTTCCCCTTCACCCAATGATGCTTCATACCAAATTTGGACAAAATCCTGTCATTTGTACAGAAGAAGAAGGTATTTGAAGAATTTGCTATGTTTCCCCTATTTGGCCCCTCCCTTCTATCCCCAGGTGGGCCACACTCACTGTTTATACGAAATTGAGTCCCTTTTGTCCAAGGATGCTCCAGACTAAATTAGGATAAAATCCCTCAATCCATATGGTAGAAGAAGGATTATAAAGGTTTTACTTCTATTTCCCCTTTTGGGCCCCGCCCCTCAGGTCCCAGGGGGGCCACACCCACCGTTTATACAAAATTGGTTCCCCTTTACCCAAGGATGCTCCACACCAAATATGGACAAATTCCTTTCATTCCTACAGAAGAAGAAGGATTTTAAAGAATAATTTGCTATGTTTCCCCTTATTGGGCCCGCCCCTCAGGCCCCTGATGGGCCAGACCCACAGTTTATTCAAAATTGGTTCCCCTTCACCCAAGGATGCTTCAGACCAAATATGGAACAAATCCTTTCATTCCTATAGAAGATGAAGGATATTAAAGAATTTGCTATATTTCCCCTATTGGGCCCCGCCCCTCAGCCCCCAGGGGGGCCAGACCCACCGTTTATACAAAATTGGTTCCCATTTACCGAAGGAGGCTCCACACCAAATATGGAACAAATCCTTTCATTCTGACAGAAGAGAAGGATTTTAAAGAATAATTTGCTATGTTTCCCCTATTGGTCCCCACTTCTCAGGCCCCTGGCGGGCCAGACCCATGGTTTATACAAAATTGGTTCCCCTTCACCCAAGGATGCTTCAGACCAAATATGGAACAAATCCTTGAATTCCAACAGAAGAAGAAGGATTTTAAAGAATTTGCTATATTTCCCCTATTGGGCCCCGCCCCTCTACCCCCAGGGGGGCCACACCCACCGTTTATACAAAATTGAGTCCCTTTGGCCCAATGATGCTCCAGATTAAATTAGGATAAAATCCTTTAATCCCTACGGTAGAAGAAGGATTTTCAAGGTTTTACTTCTATTTCCCCTATTGGGCCTCACCCCTCTGCCCCCAGGGGGGCCACACCCACCGTTTATACAAAATTGAGTCCCCTTGGTCTGAGGATACCCTAGACCAAATTTAGTCAAAATCTCCTTGGCCGTTCAGGACTAGTAGCGTTTTGAAGGAAAAGTTGAAGGAAGGACGGACGACGGACGGACGGACGGACGACGGACGCTGCATTATGGCATAAGCTCACCATGGTCCTATGGACCAGGTGAGCTAAAAATTAAAACCAGTCAAACACTGATTAAAGTTTCAACATACAAGTTTTCATAGTCTTGGGTCTCATTTCAAGCTGTCCTGCTCCAATATCCTATTTTGTCTTTTGTTTACAGAGCATTGTCCTTTGACCTTAGTTCCATCGACTTTTATCCGCTGTCCTTTGTCTGATTGACCTCTGATCATCTGTTTCTTTGACCTTTGTCCCATTGACTTTTTGTCCTGTCCCTCGTCCCATTAACCTTTGCAAGTTTCTCTGACCTTTGTCCCCTTGACCTTCATATTGTCTTTGGTCCATCTGACCTTTACACATCTGTCCCTTTGACCTTTGTCCTGACCTTAGTTCCGTTGACCTTTTTCCTGACCTTTGTTCCATTGACCTTTGTCCTGACCTTTGTTCTACTGAACTTTGTCCTGACCTTTGTTCCACTGACCTTTGTACATTTGTCTTTCTGACCTTTGTCTCTCTGACTTTTATTCTATATCCTTGGTGAGAAAGTGAAGTTTGCTAGTTTAGGTCGTAGTGACACACCTGTATAAAAACTGTCGAAAGAAACGTCGCTCTGCTCGGGGGTCCCTGTAGCATTGATGTGGAAGGTTTGTAGCATATTTGAGAGGGAGAGGAATAACATGGATTCGGCTGCAATCTTAGCTACACACTGACGTGGACCTGTAAAGGGAAAGTCACAAATGTATGGTTGTACAGTGATCAAATATAGTACACTCCAACCCTGCTAATGTGAACACCTCTATTAAGAGACCACCTGCAGTAAGGGACCACCTGCAGTAAGAGACCACCTCTATTAAGAGACCACCTGTGTTAAGAGACCACCTCTATTAAGAGACCACCTGTGTTAAGGGACCACTTTAAACGTTTTTCATTGGAGTGATCATTTCCTTGTGAACTTAACCTGAAGGTAATAGGTTTGTGTCGCCATTTCTCAGTAGAATTTTGTAGTTATATTGCTTTGAAGTAAAGAAAATGTTCTGCCACAAAAAAATATAGGTTGTCAGAATTTTAAGGATTTTAAATGGAAATTTATGTAAAAATGAGTGAATTTTGAAGAAAAAAAAGGAAAGACACAATATTTTGCAAAATAATGTCAATAAAAATGATACTGCCATAGATAAGTATTGCATTAATGTATATCAATTTAATAAATGCTGAAATTGTGTATATTAAATTATCTACAACCAATTAAAAATTGACATTTTATGATAAAACCATATACACATAGTAATTGCATGTAAGAGTTATCTTGAAAAACTTCACAGTAGTGAAATAGGTAGCCGGTTTCCTGAAGTACAGAAAAATGGACACATGTGACTCATTGATAAAAAACCAACTGAATTAATGCCTGGATTGCTTTAAAATACTTTAATATTGAGAGAACACACTGTTCTGCCAATAATACACATATAATATTCATCAGTTCAAGATTAAACATTAGAATATGCGGAAATTGTGATACTGTCTCCCTACATTGGATTTTCAACAATGGATGTACTTCCTATTTCCGTTTCAATACACTCATTCAACCTTAATCAAAAGACCATACATTGTATGTGTTAAGCGACCACTTGTTAGAGTTCATGTGGGTCGTCTCTTAGTACAGGTCTGACCAATCAAAACAGAGAAAACAATGGGTTTCAATATAATGAAAAGAAAGTGATATCCATAATAGAAACAAGACAAAAATTATTCTATACAAAGACAGGAATTCCACAGGAGTGGATGTGTCGCCTGCTCAGCGCTTTTAGTGAGAAAAGTGTTTTGACTTGAGTTATCGTGTAAACAAGCAAAAAGTCAACAGCAAAAACGATGAACAACGTTGCTATGTCAAGTGTGATATGCCAAAATGCGAAAAATTGAAACTCAACAGAAAAACCCATAATATATGTTGAACATGTTTGCTTCTAGCATTACCATACAAAATTTGAAAGAAATTGATTAAAAAATAAAAAAGTTCTTGCATTTACTACACAATTCCCTTATTTGACAATAGAAGGGGCATAACTCCACCAAAAATGCATTTAGTAAGAGAAAGCAAGAACATGCATGTATAGTTTTTGATAATAATGTATATTTAGAGAAGACAAAATCAAATTTAACTATCTAATGATAATTAAGGTTATTCTAATGTCTTCACTTATTCACCCTGAAATTTCATAATGAACTATTTCAACCTTTGAATTGAAAGAGTTCAAATGTGTTTTCGTGAGTGAATGAGTTAACACAATGCTAAGTTTATATCTTACCCATTCCAAAAGGATGATATGGTTTGTCTTTGATTGGTTCTAAAAATCGGTCTGGATGAAATTTTTCTGGCTCATCCCAGAACTCCTTGTCAATATGAGACTGGCGAAGATCACAGATAACTATGGAATCCTTTGGAATTTGAAATTCTCCAATCATGGTCTCCTCTGTGTTTGTGCGCAATGCTGTGTTAACAACTGTAGAAAAAAACAAGATACAAGATTGATCAATGGTCAAAGACCTTTCATATATCAATTTCATTCAGCAAAGAACGATCATACCTTTAAAAGTCTTTATTTGTGATGACATTGTTTCTCTAGGCTCGCCCATAGTTCAAACTATATAAAAGAAATTTAGACCCTCCCCTTGCCCTAAACCGACTCATCTTAAACCATTATAACCAAATAGATTTCTTAGCGCTTATTTAATTTCTTGCAGTGTAAATATTGACCAAATTTATCAAAATCTGACGTAGTCATATTTCATTGATACATTTTGGGGGAACCTCTGACCAATCGCAGTGTAGTATGATAATTAATTATGTGCAGAGCTTTGCTCAACATTGAATTTAGCCTTTTCTTTTTGAAATATAAATAAACACAAAGTTTCATCATGACCCTGTCACTTTTTATTAAGTTATTGTGCTGACAACGTCAACCGATCAAATCCTACTCAAATTCAATCTTTACCTCAGTGCTAAACTATTGTATATTGGAATTGGCTTACCATGTTTCATCCGAACTGTAAACTAATTTAAGGAAGCTATCTGTGGAAACCTAAGTGTGGATGATAGACAGACGGATGGAGGCTCCTAACCCTTTCACTACTGTAGACCATAATGGACTCATCCAGATCATTGCATGGTAGAGTCTACTAGGTTACATAGGGGTGAAAGGGTTAATGGGAATGTAAAAAGAGGACAGCAGATCATTGACACAATGACATAACTACACAGCCAAAAAAAATCCTTAAATTGGGAATTTACACCCAGTCAAGTATTCACCCTTCACCGATAAAATCTATTATTATTTTTTCATATTATTCCCAATAAGTGATTGGCCAGTAGTGCATCACATGTCCACTGATAAAAACCAATATTGACTTGGAGTGCGTGATTTTTGTTGAAGGACTGGGTGTTTCTAAAAATTGAATTATGACGTGTCTCCAAACAATGCACCGTACTGTACTGCTAATATTAGCACAACTTGTATTCATTCACCCCCATTACAGAGAGCAAAAAGTGGGAAGGTAAAGTGAGGAGAACCTTTCCCTGTATAGTCAGTAACAGAAGCATGTTATCTTCACTGAATGTTGGTGTATAATCTTCATGAAAAAAATATTTTAGTTTATAAAATTATGTATTTGATTATGAAACATACTTGTCCCTGCCGATCTTCCAAGCTCCTTAAATGTGGCATCAGTATAAGGCAGATTAGCTCTGTCATCTAGAGTGACCTGTCTGTCTCGACCTACAACCTACACAAACCAATACAATCACATGTGATGATATTAGATCCTTTATCAATTATATATTGACCAATCAGAACAGTATTTTCTATTCACTGCATTTAATCTGCTGATGTTTTGTTCAGGCGCAGCAGAATCGACAGCAATGAAAACAAGAGGTTGTTTTTATCTAACTGTGGTACATACAATAAGTTATTGATATAACACAATAAGGTATTGACATAATACGATAAGTTATTGACATAATAAAATAAACAAAACAAAATGTGAACAAAAAGTACCAGATAACAGCTGACAAAGCTACAATTACATTGGATAGCAAATTGAAAATGGTGTATATAGCCTTGTTGTCAAGCCTGGCATCGATCGTTAGAATAGAACATTTTCATCTTTTCACTTTTTAAAACAAGAGGCCTGTATTGCTCATCTGATTCTTTTGTTACATGGATCTGACATATAGGTAACTTTAGACCAAATTTGGTAACTAGAACACAAGACAATTTAACATCTCTTAAACGGTTCTAAGATATTTGAAATTTTAATTTTAAAGCTTTTAACCAATGTTGATCTTTGACTCAGGCTAGCACTTCAAGTTGACCTTTGACCTCATTACTGTAATCAAGAAAACGATTCACACAGCTGGTCTACATAACATACTCAAGTATTATGACTCAAGTTCAAATGGTTCTTAGGATGTTGTTGTTTGAAGTTTTTAACATATTTGACCCCTGTGACCTTGAAAGTAGGTCAAGGTCATTTTAATAAGGAAACTGTATAGCACTCCATCCCATCTACCTACTGGTCAAATGTCGTTAGCCTAGGTCTTCCAGTTCTTCAGAAGTCGTTCAAAATAAAAAGTTGACGGACAGACGACAGACAACGGACGCCGCAGTACGGCATAAGCTCAAAATGTTATAAATAGAAATTTTTAGTTTTTTCCATTGAATACCATATATATTTCTGTCATACGACAAAATATACTGGTATCTTCACTCATACTTCACAGTGAAAAATGTCAGTATTCTGCAATACTTGTAAAATACATTTGATATTTATTTTATTATGTTCCTTGTAGAAACATTGTTGATAGAAATAAGTTCAGTAATTGACAGTGATCGAGAGAAACTGTAAAGGTTTTACCAGAATTCTGTCTATATACCTTGCCTATCTCTTCCTGACATTGTCGCTGAACATCCTGGTACTTAGACATATAAACCAGTTGCCATAACAACATTGATGTGGATGTGTCCGCCCCACCAAGGAACAAGTCTATTATACTGCGGAAAAAATTTGCCTCTGAAATAGAGAACACAATTGAAAGTCAAGCCAAGATCAATTGTGCAGTTGTAAATCTCACAAATCTATTCAAACACATTGAAGGTTTTTAAAGCAAAATAATCAAGAAAAATGGGAGTTAAAGTTGATCTTATGATATAGTAACAGTTGATCACATGATATAGTAACAGTTGATCAGATGATATATTAACCGTTAAATCTATGATATATAAAGTGTTAATCCTATGGTATATTAACAGTTAATCCTATGATATAGTAACAGTTAATCCTATGAAATATTAACAGTTAATCCTATGATATAGTAACAGTTAATGCTATGATATAGTAACAGTTGACCACATGATAAAGTAGCAGTTGATCACATGATATAGTAACAGTTAATCCTATGATATAGTAACAGTTGATCCTATGATATATTAACAGTTGATCACATGATATAGTAACAGTTGATTGCATGATACAGTAACAGTTGATCACATGATATAGTAACAGTTGATCACATGATATATTAACAGTTGATCCTATGATATAGTAACATTTAATCCTATGATATAGTAACAGTTAATCCTATGATATAGTAACAGTTAATCCTATGATATAGTAACATTTAATCCTATGATATAGTAACAGCTAATCCTATGATATAGTAACAGTTGATCACATGATATATTAACAGTTAATCCTATGATATAGTAACAGTTAATCCTATGATATAGTAACAGTTAATCCTATGATATAGTAACAGTTGATCCTATGATATAGTAACAGTTAATCCTATGATATAGTAGCAGTTGATCACATGATATGTTGACAGTTGATCACATGATAAGGTAACAGTTGATCACATGATATAGTAACAGTTGATCACATGATATATTAACAGTTGATCCTATGATATATTAACAGTTGATCACATGATATGTTGACAGTTGATCACATGATAAGGTAACAGTTGATCACATGATCTGGTTAAGCTGATCACATGATCTGGTTAAGCTGATAGCATGATCTGGTAACGGTTGATCACATGATATAGAAACAGTTGATCACATTGTATAGTAACAGTTGATTACATGATATAGTAACAGTCGATCACATGATCTGGTTAAGCTGATCACATGATCTGGTTAAGCTGATCACATGATCTGGTTAAGCTGATCGCATGATCTGGTAACAGTTGATAGCATGATCTGGTAACAGTTGATCACATGATAAGGTAATAGTTGATCACATGATTTTGTTACAGTTGATCACATGATCCGGTCACAGTTGATGACATGATCACGTAACAGTCTATCACATGATCTGGTTACAGTCGATCACATGATCTGGTAATAGTTGATCACATGATCTGGTTACAGTTGATCATATGATCTGGTAACAGTTGATGACAGGATTACGTAACAGTTGATCACATCACATTACCTAGCACTACGGTCAATCATATGATCTAGCATTCCTTATTTCCTTAGTGTATATATAATAGGGCCACATCTTGTTTGATATCAAAACACTGTAAGGGAAATCATATGATGATTAAATTACACACTCGTTCAATATGTACTTCAAATGTACGCATTATGTAGTGCTTTAGATAGGGAAAATATGTCTTAAGACGGGATGCTTATAAACTAATTTCAAACCTGAGTATTCCGCCTGCCCGCGTTCCTCTGCACTCAGACTCAAGAATACATCCATATAGTCCAAACACTTGTTCCTGTCTAACCTCTCGGCGTGTTCTGATAGCTTTGTTTTGAAGAAACCAAAAATTTGTTCTTCTCTCATCTTTACTTGCTCAAACTGAAAAACACAAAGGATCACAGAGCTGTCGTTACCAAGGTCACACCAATTTAGTCTAATGATAGTTTTCCTTCATTACGGATCATTACATTCAAGTGACATTCAATGAGGATAACATTTGGTGGCAGGCTGAATAATAAAACCCTGAACATTGAACATTGACTACGGAGCAATCCTAGTCCTAGCATCTTTGGAATGAATGCATGCTGTTAACCTTTTCTTGATTGTTTTTCCGATGCATGTTTGTCTTTTAATTTATGCTGAACAAGAAGCCCAATGGGCCTGCATCGCTCACCTGGTATTCATCTTACAACTGTAACCTTAAAAGTGAACTAAATGCTACAGGCAAAAATATCAGTGTCTTGACCGCATCATCCTGGTCCTTTTGGTTATGCAGAAGTCATTTAAAGGTTTATAAGACAATTGACCCCTGTAACGTTAAATATGGGCGAAGGTCATTCATTTTAACAAACTTGGTAGCCCTTCATCCCAGTATGTTAGTGTCCAAATATCATCACCCTGGGCCATTAAGTTATTCATAAGAAGTTGTTTGAAAGATTTTAAGATAACTGACCCCCGTGACCTTGAATATAAGTCAAGGTCATTCATTGGAACAAACTTGGTAGGCTTTCATGCCAGTATGTGATTGGCCTAATATCATCATCCTGGGTTATTCAGAAGAAGTTGTTAAAAGATTTTAAAAAGATTTTAACATATTTGACCCCTGTGACCTTTAAAATGGGCAAAGGTAATTCATTTGAACAAAGTTGGTAGTCCTTTATTACCATGCTACTGGCCAAATACCATTCGGGCCAGGTGAGCTAAAAATGCTTCTAAACTGTAGCTGAATAATGCAGTGAAAAAAGGGCCACAACTCTGTATAAAAGGTAAGAAACTCAATTTTAGTATGCAATGCTCTGACATCTCAAGAAGTACTCTCCTACAAAAGTTTGAAACTACAGGTGACACAGTATATGAGATATGTCCTGCACAAAGAATGACTAGGCGGTAGGGTGGTGCAATGGATAACATTTTTCGCCTTTCACAAAGGCAGCCAGGGTTCCATTCCACGATCAACTGTGAAAAGGTCAGGGGTCACCTGCCTGACCACCTGGGTTTTATAAGGGTACTCCAGCTTCTTCCTGCGTTTAAAACCTCCCTTAAAACTTAAAATAAGTTTAAATAACTTGTTTCATAATTGTTGTTCAAGAAATTAAGTTTATAAACAGACAAACAGATGTGCAGCGAGCCTATCGTCTCCTCCAGCAATACTAATGGAGGACTAACAATGTTAATATCTGACCTCTTAACTTTAATGGAGAATATAGATCAATTCAATTTAATATATAACCTTTCAGCTTCCATTGGTCATTCCCTTACTACTTGTATATAACCATTGACTTATACAGGTTTACAAATGACCCTTACCTTTGAGCTGGCCAGTCTGGGGAGGATTGGATACAGGTGTACAGATGGACCTTACGTTTGAGCTGGTCAGTCTGGCGAGGATTGGATACAGGTGTACACATGGACCTTACCTTAGAGCTGGTCAGTCTGGGGAGGATTGGATACAGGTGTACACATGGACCTTACGTTTGAGCTGGTCAGTCTGGCGAAGATTGGATACAGGTGTACACATGGACCTTACCTTTGAGCTGGTCAGTCTGGGGAGGATTGGATACAGGTGTACACATGGACCCTACCTTTGAGCTGGTCAGTCTGGCGAGGATTGGATACAGGTGTACACATGGACCTTACCTTAGAGCTGGTCAGTCTGGGGAGGATTGGATACAGGTGTACACATGGACCTTACCTTTGAGCTGGCCAGTCTGGCGAGGATTGGGAACATGTTGACTGGACCTTACCTTTGAACTGGCCAGTCTGGCGAGGATTGGGAACATGTTGCCTGGACCTTACCTTTGAGCTGGCCAGTCTGGGGAGGATTGTATACAGGTGTACCCAAGGACCTTACCTTTGAGCTGGCCAGTCTGGCGCGGGTTGGGAACATGTTGACTGGACCTTACCTTTGAACTGGCCAGTCTGGCGAGGATTGGGAACATGTTGCCTGGACCTTACCTTTGAGCTGGCCAGTCTGGGGAGGATTGTATACAGGTGTACCCAAGGACCTTACCTTTGAGCTGGCCAGTCTGGGGAGGATTGTATACAGGTGTACCCAAGGACCTTACCTTTGAGCTGGCCAGTCTGGCGCGGATTGGGAACATGTTGACTGGCCCTTACCTTTGAGCTGGCCAGTCTGGCGAGGATTGGGAACATGTTGACTGGACCTTTCCTTTGAGCTGGCCAGTCTGGCGAGGATTGGATACAGGTGTACACATGGACCCTACGTTTGAGCTGGCCAGTCTGGGGAGGATTGGATACAGGGGTACACATGGACCTTACCTTTGAGCTGGCCATACGGGGAAAATTGGATACAGGTGTACACATGGACCCTACCTTTGAGCTGACCAGACGGGGAAGATTGGGTACAGGTGTACACATGGACCTTACCTTTGAGCTAGTCAGTCTGTGGAGGATTGGATACAGGTGTACACATGGACCCTACCTTTGAGCTGGCCAGTCTGGGGAGGATTGTATACAGGTGTACCCAAGGACCTTACCTTTGAGCTGGCCAGTCTGGCGCGGATTGGGAACATGTTGACTGGCCCTTACCTTTGAGCTGGCCAGTCTGGCGAGGATTGGGAACATGTTGACTGGACTTGCCGATTTACAGTTTGTAAGTAGGAAGAGAATGTTCTCCTTCAAGTTCTGGAACTCAGGGTCAGAGTGGTCAAACCTGAGGACAAAAGAAAAGTTGCTAAAACATTTGCATGATTAGTATCTGGTCGCTCTTTATAGGAAAGATGTTTAAAAGCCAAAACAACTATCCATAGTAAAATGCTTAATTGACAGTCATTTCATAGTAAAAACCATCCTTCATAGACAAGTGTTTAATAGTAAACCATCCTTTATAGACAGGTATTTATTAGTAAACATCCTTAATAGACAGGTGTTAAATAGTAAAACATCCATTATAGACAAGTGTTTAATAGTAAAACATATGTTATAGACAGGTATTTGATAGTAAACATCCTTTATATACAGGTGTTTAACAACAAAACATCATTTATTGGCAGGAGTTTTATAGGAAAAACATAATTTATAGAAAGGTGTTTAATATTTAAAAACTTGTTACGGGTGTTTTATTTAGTAAACATACTTTGTAGACAGATGTTTTCCCACCTTTTTAATACAGGTATGAATTACAGTGTTAGCTGTTACGAAGAATCATGTAAAATCTATAAATTCATTCACATCTGTGAATGTGTCATATAATCAACCTGGATATGTTTGTAAGAATGACTGTCATGCAGGAAGGATAATTTAATCCAGCCAACAATATAAACACAATGGTTGCCAGGAAGTCCCTCTCATGCTGAGCCACTAGTGTTGGCTGTGTTTTCATTCATGGCGTTGAATGACCCTAATGGGCCATAAGTGATATTTTATTATCCGGATATATATTACTGGGAGTGTAAAAACTGATCAGGAGGTATTGGGACAAACCGATGTGAACTGGGATAAAATGAAACTCAACATCTCAAACAAGAACGTTCAGATTGATATCAAGTTTGTACTGGTTATAGCCCCACTGAACACATAACTGACCACAAGGAGATATAGTTATACCTTGAACACAAACATCCTCACAACCTGGAGTTATATCTATAGTTCTACCTCCAAATCAAACACTATGACAACCTAGCGATATGTGTAGTTATACCTTCGACACACACACACCTTGGCAACCAGGAGGTGTGTAGTTATACTGTCGACACACACACCTTGGCAACCAGGAGGTGTGCAGTTATACCTTCGACACACACACACCTTGACAACCAGGAGGCGTGTAGTTATACCTTCGACACACACACCTTGACAACCAGGAGGTGTGTAGTTATACCTTCGACACACACACCTTGACAACCAAGAGGTGCATAGTTATACCTTCGACACACACACCTTGACGACCAGGAGGTGTGTAGTTATACGTTCGACACACATACCTTAACAACCAGGAGGTGTGCAGTTATACCTTCGACACACACACCTTGACAACCAGGAGGTGTGTAGTTATACTTTCGACACACACACACCTTGACAACCAGAGGATGCGTAGTTATACGTTCGACACACACACACACCTTGACAACCAGGAGGTGTGTAGTTATATCTTCGACACACAAACCTTGACAACCAGAAGGTGCGTAGTTATACGTTCGACACACTCACCTTGACAACCAGGAGGTGTGTAGTTATACCTTCGACACACACACACCTTGACAACCAGGAGTTGTGTAGTTATACCTTCAACACACACACCTTGACAACCAGGTGTGTAGTTATACCTTCGACACACACACACCTTGACAACCAGGAGGTGTGTAGTTATACCTTCGACACACAAACACTTTGACAACCAGGAGGTGTGTAGTTATACCTTAGACACACACACCTCGACAACCAGGAGGTGTGTAGTTATATCTTCAACGCACACACTTTGACAACCAGGAGGTGTGTAGTTATATCTTCAACACACACACCTTGACAACCAGGTATGTAGTTATACCTTCAACACACACACACACACATCATGAAAACCAGGTGTGCAGTTATACCTTCAACACACACACCTTGACAACAAGGAGGTGTGTACAATTTCTGTATTCCTGGAAACATTTAATGCAGTTTAACTCTCAATTTCTGCCCCTGAAGACACATTTGAAGTCTTCAGTTCAAAGGTTGGAATGGTTCATTGTGAAATACCAGGGGTGAATGAGTAAATAAGAGCAAATTTATCATAAGAGCCAACATAAGTAACCAACATAACAACCATAGCAATCAAATGTAAAGGGCGAAATTAACAATGGACAAATACAGATTTTACCAGGGTAGGGCGAAATTAACAATGGACAAATACAGATTTTACCAGGGTAGGGCGAAATTAACAATGGACAAATACAGATTTTACCAGGGTAGGGCGAAATTAACAATGGACAAATACAGATTTTACCAGGGTAGGGCGAAATTAACAATGGACAAATACAGATTTTACCAGGGTAGGGCGAAATTAACAATGGACAAATACAGATTTTACCAGGGTAGGGCGAAATTAACAATGGACAAATACAGATTTTACCAGGGTAGGGCGAAATTAACAATGGACAAATACAGATTTTACCAGGGTAGGGCGAAATTAACAATGGACAAATACAGATTTTACCAGGGTAGGGCGAAATTAACAATGGACAAATACAGATTTTACCAGGGTAGGGCGAAATTAACAATGGACAAATACTGATTTTACCAGGGTAGGGCAAATTAACAATGGACAAATACTGATTTTACCAGGGTAGGGCCAAATTAACAATGGACAAATACAGATTTTACCAGGGTAGGGCGAAATTAACAATGGAAAAAAACAGATTTTACTAGGGAAGGGACAAATTAACAATAGACAAATACAGACTTTACCAGGGTAGGGCGAAATTAACAATGGAAAAATACAGATTTTACTAGGGTAGGGACAATTTAACAATGGACAACTACAGATTTTACCAGGGTAGGGAGAAATTAACAATGGACAAATACAGATTTTACTAGGGAAGGGACAAATTAACAATAGACAAATACAGACTTTACCAGGGTAGGGCGAAATTAACAATGGACAAATACTGATTTTACCAGGGTAGGGCGAAATTAACAATGGACAAATACTGATTTTACCAGGGTAGGGCCAAATTAACAATGGACAAATACAGATTTTACCAGGGTAGGGAGAAATTAACAATGGACAAACACTGATTTTACCAGGGTAGGGGGGAATTAACAATAGACAAATACAGATTTTACCAGTGAAGGGAGGAATTAACAATGGACAAATACAGATTTTACCAGGGTAGGGAGAAATTAACAATGGACAAATACAGATTTTACCAGGGTAGGGAGAAATTAACAATGAAAAAACACAGTTTTACCAGGGTAGGGACAAATTAACAATGGACAAACACAGATTTTACCAGTGAAGGGAGAAATTAACAATGGAAAAACACAGATTTTACCAGTGAAGGGAGAAATTAACAATGGACAAACACAGATTTTACCAGGGTAGGGGGGAATTAACAATGGACAAATACAGATTTTACCAGGGTAGGGCGAAATTAACAATGGACATATACAGATTTTACCAGGGTTGGGGGGAATTAACAATTGACAAATACAGATTTTACCAGGGTAGGGGGGAATTAACAATGGACAAATACAGATTTTACCAGGGCAGGGGGAAAGTTTGACTGAGCGAATTTTTTTCTGGTTCACAGTATTGACCCAATCGTATAAATACTTGACAACTAGGAGTTTTGTATTGGTAAATAAAACAGGAACACACTCATCTTGTATAGAAGATTTTATGAAACATTACCACACATAGATTATTTAAGTGCACTCTCATGTATTGACAGGAAGGATGACACAACCTCTGGCCTCTGTCTAAAGGAAGGATGATTTGGTGTATTTTGTCTGTATACACGTCAGACCCCTGCGTTCTGTGTAAGTGTTCTATCTCAGGAAAGGTGTATATTATATGTAAATTTCTAATTATACAATAAATATACACAAACATACTGTCTGTGTGAATGTTTGTCAGCAAAACAGAATTTATGATCTGTTACAACGCGGTGCAGCGTGGTCCTCATCTTAATTCATTTATTGCCAATATATCCTATTCATTTAATTTAATAGTTTATATTATAAATTTCCCGTACCACTGCCAAAATCAAATAACTGGGCCATAACTCTTATATTTAGAGATTTAAATAATTTGTAGAATCTGTAGAAGTGTCTTTAGAAGCAATGTCCTCATTCAGCTTTAATCTTAAGGCCTTAAGTCTGCAAAGTTTATTTTTTAAAGAGTTCAGAATGGAGATCAAGATTTTTCGTTAACACAAATTAAACACTTTTTACTGTGAATATTTAATACATTTCTGTCATGACAGGAATGTGACTCTTTTAGGATATGTGGTCAAAATGATACATTAGTCTTGATTTTTATATTTTAGTGTTTTCAGGAAATTAAGTATTACAAATTGTTATGAAAATCACTAATATCAACAAGAAAATTCCAAACTCTAGGGCCCCGGGCTCCCACATTCAACACATTCCACAAAAACACTCCCTACTAAACAATCAATCATGGTAGGCCTTCAGGCAACACATCTACTGTCATTTCTAGATGAAAAAGAAAATATTCCCATTTTGTTAATTGCTTTACATGTCACGAAAATTCGGTTCTTATACATTTCTATTTTGTTTACATAAAGATTTTATACACAGAATGGAAGTACACAAGATTGATTCTTTATTACCCAGTAACAAAAGGCAATTACATGAAGTAATTCATAGGATTACAATTCAAAACTAGTCATTGCCTCAAGTTGTAAAGTTTTACAACCAGTTGTATTTATATCCGTTCTGTCATATAACAGAGGCCAAAAGGGCCTGTATCACTCACATGGGTGTTTGAACAATCATATCAGCCAACATTCTCATTAGAAGTCAAGTGTTGCAAATACACCCCTATTTTGACTCAGTCCCTGGACCAAAGGGTGCTTTAAATTTGGGTGAGATCAGTATGTATTTTTACAATGTATATGGTCGTAGGGTTTGGACCTCAATCTTTACAATGTAATGATTGATCAGAAATTAAATCCCTCGGGGCAAGGCCAGTCCTCAAGGCTAATCCTTGTAGCATGATCTTCTAATCTTTTCACCTCTTCCATTTATCTTATCTCCCCTTCTTACCTCTCCCATTTATCTTATCTCCCCTTCTAACCTCTCCCATTTATCTTATCTCCCCTTCTTACCTCTCCCATTTATCTTATCCCCCCTTCTAACCTCTCCCATTTATCTTATCTCCCCTTCTGTTTTTATCTGTCTTCTCCCCTTCCCCTTCCACCTCCCATCATTTTCTCCCCTCCTCTCCTCACCTTATCACCTTACCCATTCCTTCCCTGTTCACTCATTTCCCCCGTCCTTCCCTCACCATATCACCTTCTCTTTCAACTTTTCTCACTTCCTTCCCTCTCCTTTATCTTATCAACACCTTCCCTCATTCTTCATCTCCCCCTTCCCTCTCCTTTACTTCCCCCTTCCCACTCCTTTATCTTTTTTCCTTCCCTTTTCTTTATTTCTCCTTTCGTTTATCTTTTCCCCTCCCCTTCTCCCCTCCTTCCCTTTCCTTTATCTTTCCCCCTCCCCTTCTCCCCTCCTTCTTTGTCCTTTATCTTCTCCTTTCCGTTATCTTTTCCCCTCCCTTTCTTCCTTCCTTCCCTTTCCTTTATCTTCTCCCAACCTTCCTTATGTCCTTATCTTTTCCTGACCATCCCTATTTCCTGACCATCCCTATTTCCTGACCTTTTTCTTTCTTCCCCTGCAACATTTTCTCTACCTTCCTTCTGTATCCTCTTTTACTCCTCCTTCATCTTTCTTTGGCATTCTCTTTCCCCTTCTGCTTTTTCCTCTCATTCAATCTCATTCATATTCCTTCCCCATTTCTTACATTATCCACACTTCCCTCTCTTTTTGTCTTCTTTCCATCATCTGCTATTCTTCATTATTTTCTCCATTTCTTTTCCTCACATCCCTTAACATAATCCTTTTTCCCATGATTTAAATATTCTTTCCCTTTCAGCTTTTATATCTTCTACCTTAATCTTCCATTCTTTATTCCTTCCGCCATCTTCATCCCTTTGTTCCTCTTCCCATCATAATGTTTCCTCCACTCCTTTCCCCTTCTTGTCATCGAAACTACCCATTTCCTTATCTATGTTCCCTCCTCCTTCTGAATTAGTTATTTCCCTCCTTATTCTATTATTTATTCCCCTGTTCTTACTCCCCTATCTTCCATCCTCTCTAACATATTAAGGTTACAAGTCAAATCCATATGTATGAACAGTGATATCAAATTCTCATTTTTATTGCAAAACTGATTGTAAATTCAACAGCTTTTCTGAAAATCTCATTATCAATATATGCTTTAGTGCTTTAAGCTTACAAGACCAATGGAGAACGGGAGTTTGATTATTGGTCTCTACGGTAACGCTATCAATCCCTCCATTACAATGGAGCACCCTCACTGACACGCTCACTGACACGTAAATATTTATGTCCCTGTTGGAGCTGCTTAAATGCATTTATTCTGTAAGCTATACAATATTCATGGAACATATAAACACACAAGGTCTAAACACAGCCCTGGAGCTATTCCACAGGGCCCACGTCTGTGAATGAATTGTAAATCTTCATTCTGACACATACACGATTGTGATTGTTATTTGATCAAAGTGTTAGGACTCCAGGACACCGACAATATGCTGACAGATCAAAAACAAATGAGTTGAAAATTAAGTCAGCATGTTGTTTACCTTTTTGTGTTGGCACATTGACATATTGTCATTTCTTCCTGTAATCCTCCCGGTCATCTTGTCACACTGTCATGTTGTTATACAAGTGTACCACCATATTGTCACTTTGTAATACTGTCACCTGATCATGTTGTCACTTTGTAATACTGTCACCTGATCATGTTGTCACTTTGTAATACTGGCACCTGATCATGTTGTCACTTTGTAATAATGTCACCTGATCATGTTGTCACTTTGTAATAATGTCACCTGATCATGTTGTCACTTTGTAATACTGTCACCTGATCACTTTGTAATACTGTCACCTGATCATGTTGTCACTTTGTAATACTGTCACCTGATCACTTTGTAATACTGTCACCTGATCACTTTGTAATACTGTCCCCTTATGTTGTCACTTTGTAATACTGTCACCTGATCACTTTGTAATACTGTCACCTTATCACTTTGTAATACTGTCACCTGATCACTTTGTAATACTGGCACCTAATCACTTTGTAATACTGGCACCTGACCACTTTGTAATACTGTCACCTGATTACTTTGTAATACTGTCACCTGATCATGTTGTCACTTTGTAATACTGTCACCTGATCACTTTGTAATACATCACCCGATCACTTTGTAATACCGTCACCTGATCATGTTGTCACTTTGTAATACAGGCACCTTATCATGTTGTCACTTTGTAATACTGTCACCTGATCATGTAGTCACTTTTATCATGTTGTCATTCTATCATGTTGTCACTTTTTCATCTTGTCACCAGGTCATGTTGTTATTTGATTATGTTGTTACTTTTCTCATGTTGTCATCTGATCATGGTGACACCTTGTTATGTTGTCACAATGTAATGTTGTCACATTGTAATGTTGTCACATTGTCATGTTGTCACATTGTAATGTTGTCATCTGATCATGGTGTCACCTTGTAATGTTGTCATCTGATCATGGTATCACCTTGTTATGTTGTCACAATGTGATGTTGTCACATTGTAATGTTGTCACATTGTCATACTGTCACATTGTAATGTTGTCACCTTGTCATGTTGTCCCCTTGTAATTTTGTCACATTGTCATGTTGTCACCTTGTCATGTTGTCACATTGTAATGTTGTCATCTGATCATGGTGTCACCTTGTTATGTTGTCACAATGTAATGTTGTCACATTGTAATGTTGTCACATTGTCATGTTGTCACCTTGTCATGTTGTTACATTGTAATGTTGTCACCTTGTCATGTTGTCACCTTGTAATTTTGTCACATTGTCATGTTGTCACCTTGTCATGTTGTCACATTGTAATGTTGTCACCTTGTCATGTTGTCCCCTTGTAATTTTGTCACATTGTCATGTTGAAACATTGTCATGTTGTCTTGTTGTCACACTGTCATGTTGCCACATTGTAATGTTATCACCTTGTCATGTTGTCACATTGTCATGTTATCACCTTGTCATGTTGTCACATTGTAATGTTGTCACCTTGTAATTTTGTCACATTGTAATGTTATCACCTTGTCATGTTGTCACAGTGTAATGTTGTCACATTGTAATGTTGTCACATTGTAATGTTGTCACCTTGTAATTTTCTCACATTGTCATGTTATCACCTTGTCATGTTGTCACATTGTAATGTCACCTTGTCATGTTGTCACCTTGTAATGTTGTCACATTGTCATGTTATCACCTTGTAATGTCACCTTGTCATGTTGTCACCTTGTAATGTTATCACCTTGTCATGTTGTCACCTTGTCATGTTGTCACCTTGTCATGTTGTCACCTCACCTCACCTCACACACAAAAAAGATTGCAGCAGGCATAGAAATTACACATCAAATTTAAGGTTCCCCTTATCACTTTGGAAAATCATTAGATAAATTCATGCGTTTAGAATGTTTCTGGGAGCTCTGGGAGCTCAAGTTACAAGATAAAGGAGTGCTTTAATAGTGTCTTTATCTTGCTTACCGCTTGCCAAGGGCAATGGCTGATGTGATGTTAAACACAGATCTTGTCAGCATATTCTCAGGTGCCAGACTTCTCCCATCGGCAAGTTTTATTTCCTTAAATGTCTCTGCAAGTTCAGTTAGGACTTCTGTTTCTAGGTGGTGCTGTCTACTTTCGTTGGATTGTGTTGTGATCAACAGGCTTGAGAGTTTGTGCCAGAGACTTCCATTGGTCCAGAACAGCCCTGGAAAGTAACAGACAATACTAAAGGCAGTCTGTATATAAACATCTATATAGAAATATGCAATCAATTTCAAAACATGTTATCTCCCTTCACTTTATCTCCCTTACCCTCAGTTCCTTCATCTCCCTTCATCTTATCTTCCCTCCCCTCATTTTATCTTACCATCCCTTATGTCCCCTCCCCTGACCTTATCTCTCCTCTCTTGACCTTATCTCCCCTTTCCTCCCCTTTCCGCCCGTTATTCCCTTCGCTCCCCTTCACCTTATCTCCCCTTCCCAACTGTTATCTCCCCTTCCCTCCCCTTATATCACCTTCCCTCCCCTTCTCTTCACCTTATCTCCCCTTTCCTCCCCTTCACCTTATCTCCCCTTTACCTTATCTCCCCTTCCCATCTGTTATCTCCCCTTCCCACCCGTTATCTCCCTTTCCCACCCGTTATCTCCCTTTCCAACCAGTTATCTCCCCTTCCCACCCGTTATCTCCCCTCCTCCCTGCCTTGTATCACCTTCCCTCCACTTTATCTCCCCTCTGTTCACTGTATCCCTTTCTCTCACCTGAGCCCCTATCCCCTCACCTGTCTTGCCCTTACCTAACATTATCTCCCATTCCCTCACCTTATCTCCCCTTCCCTCATCTCATTCCCCCTCCCCCTTCCCTCATCTCATTCCCCTTTCCCCCTTACCTCATCTCATTCCCCCTCCCCCTTCCTTCATCTCATTCCCCCTCCCCCTGCCCTCATCTCATCCCCCCTTTCTCATCTCATCCCCCCCACCCTTCTCTCACCTATCTCCTCTCCCATTAATTCTACTCTTTGAATATTTTCCTACATTTACCTCCGCTACATTATATCTCCCTTTCTCTTATATCGTCTCTCACATAATCCTCTTGCCCAAAGAATGCTCCAGATCAAATAGGGTTCAAATTCCTTTACTCAAACTGAAAACTTGGGATTTTAAAGACTAACCTGTAATTCCCTACCCTCCTGACTCCAGTTTGACAACAGTCACATGGACATCTGATGATCCATCAGTTCACAAATTAACTATAAGACAAAGGGACCACTTGTACAAAACATCTCAAAGTTGAGGAAAACCTCAAGCAATGTATTGTCGATAGGAAACCTTAGACTTGAGGAAATCTCAAGAGTTGAGATGTTTTATACGAGCAGGGCCTAAGGTCCTAAAGGCTAGGATTGGGAAACTTTTTAAGTATTTTAAGTATGTATTTTTTCTATACTGTACCAGTCAGAATACATGACCATTTAAATCAGTGAGCTGTTAAACTTGAATAATTACATGAGGTGCTAGACCGCTCAGTCTGGTGATGATAGGTCATCATCTACATCGGTAGGTCTCCCCACTTAGTAAACCAGATTCCTACTTAGGTATACCGCAGTAAATGTCAAATCTGCCCATGTTCAAAATCAGTGGTGTGTGATCCATATATTCCTAACAGGAAAGAAATTAGTGTGCTTCCACCAGGAATTGAACCTGCAGTCCCTCAGGTTCCAAGTCTACACTCTACAAATTGAGCTAATGTTATATGATCATAAAATTGCATGGCTATATCTATCTATCTATATATTCTGCATCACCCTCTTTCGAGTATTATGTGCAGCTAAACAGAGATTCGAACCCAGAACCCTCCGAAAAGACGCTATACCCTACCTTTTAATAGCTCTATAAACACATGTATCAGAAAATTGTAACAGGTGAACATTCATCCAGTCTGTAAATAGGTTTACTTCTACCTGAAATAAAAACTGATAATAATCTCTTCTTGCTTTGAACAACCTGCAGGCCAAGGGCTCTCAACAAAGAACCTACAGAAAACCTCGGGCCAATTAGGGCTATCAACAAAGAACCTACAGAAAACCAATTACATACAAGTCCCTGAGGAAAAAAATATACATCAGGATGTCTTTGTTAGGTATGCTACATGTANAGGGCTATCAACAAAGAACCTACAGAAAACCTCGGGCCAATTAGGGCTATCAACAAAGAACCTACAGAAAACCTCGGGCCAATTAGGGCTATCAACAAAGAACCTACAGAAAACCTCGGGCCAATTAGGGCTATCAACAAAGAACCTACAGAAAACCTCGGGCCAATTAGGGCTATCAACAAAGAACCTACAGAAAACCTCGGGCCAATTAGGGCTCTCAACAAAGAACCTACAGAAAACCTCGGGCCAATTAGGGCTCTCAACAAAGAACCTACAGAAAACCAATTACATACAAGTCCCTGAGGAAAAAAATATACATCAGGAAGTCTTTGTTAGGTATGCTACATGTACCTGTCCTGGTTTACCTGGACAAAATACAGGTAATTTACACCTAAACATATAACATGCCTATAAAATCAATGATTAAGTGTGAGATTACTTTCATTTTTATCGGTCAACTTCCATCACTAGCTACATGCTTGAGGCAGTGTTGTGAATAGTGAAACACAAGGAGGGTATTGACAGGTCAGACACTAGATCTGATACGGAATAACTGTAGTTGTGTACAAGGTAGTGCTCTATAAGGCCAAATCAAAAAGTTGTTTGATTCCAGTTATCATACATATCCTATTTTTTTTGTGCCTGTATCCAACACTTATTTCAAGGAAACACTATTTAAGTTAAGACTATACTTTCCTATAGTATTTAAATTTATCAAAATATTTGATTTAAAATTTAATTTCTACCTTTCTTCCTTTCCTAATTTGTTAAGACATGTAGCAGGAAACGAACAAGTTGTTTTTTTGGCCTTACCCATTTAACAGCCTGTATTTATTCCCCAGACACAGTAGTTGTTTAAATTGAACAGGATTTCTAGTCTAAGCCAAAAAAAAGACATTTAAAAACCTAGACTTTATTTAGCAGGTGAAGATTTTATTGTTCCCCAGAAGACTATTATAAAACAATTTAACCTGTAAGGTGACCAATTTTTAGGAAATGACCACCTATCTTTTAAGTCAAATACATGTACATATAAATAAACCAGGCCTTCACTAAGGAAACACAAGTAATTATTTTTTTGGCCTAAGTACTTTCCATAGTTTATTTTTCTATGTAAAGAGTACCTGTGTTATCTGGATACCTGTATAAACCAGACCTTCACCTTGGTCCTACTATGACCTTGAAAAAAAGGGTCAAGTAAAACTGCATAGACAGCTACCTACTGTATAGACAGCCCTTCACTGAAAATGCTAAATACAGTATTATAACCATATAAGCCTCTTTGTTATTAATCAGAAGAACTTTTTAAACAATAAACCCATGTGAATTCAGCCCGTCAAGGTCTTTCATCTTAACAAACTTTGAAAACACCTAAAAACAGCATACTACGAGCCAAATATAATTACTCAAGGCTTTGTGGATCTTAAGAATAGGTTTTTTGAAAAATTACATGCAACAATATTACATATATCAATTTTGTCACCCTCCTCTGTATTCAGCTGAACCAATGTCATTTTCATTTTAATACTGTGGCTCATTCTATTAACAGAAAAGGTAAAGGGTATGACTGTGAATAGATACTACAGTACACATCAAGGTAGGTAAAGGGTATGACTGTGGATAGATACTACAGTACACATCAAGGTAGGTAAAGG